TGTTATTTTTAATTTTACATTACATATTGTTGGTAGGTCAGTTCGGCTGACATTTGATAATATATATTAAGGGAAATCGTTTCTGTATACTATAAACATTTACAGTATAGTGTTGTAACACAATGCATGCATATTTTATTACATTTTATTGTAAATTTTTTAATTACACTACTTATGCGTTATCACAAAATTTTATATTGGTATAGAATATGAAAAGTAAAGTCTGAAAAACAATTATTAAAAATATTTTAAGAGGAGATCACGTGCAGCAGCTTTCTTTCTAAAAAAAAAAATTTTTATTTTTTTATACTGAAATAAATTTAATAACAATTTTATTAGTCTTAGTCATTCGTTGAAGTTTATTAAAAATTTTTTTTTTTTTGATATTTAATAATTTTACACTAAAAAACAATTTATTTGTACAATTTAAAGAAAATTTTTGTTACATTTTCAAGCGTGATTACTTCATCTTCATATATATGAAGAATCTATATATTCACCTAATAAACATTTATATTGTACCCTTAAAAATACTTAAGATTAATAAATAATAATTGCACACTTGTAATTATTTCAAAAAAAAAAAATATATAATAAATTGAAAAAAAAAAACAAAAGTTTGTGCACTAAATTTAATTGTTTATCGTATATAATTTATTTTTCTTATTTATTAATTTATTTATTTATATTACGATAATGATATTTTTTATAACAACAAAATTATCTTTAATTGCTACAATAATATTATAAGGTACTCATAAGGCCATAAAAAGTTGAAAATAACCTTAATAAATAACAAAAAAAAAAAATTCTTATCAGAAATTCCAGTTATTTTCGGAATAAATTAATGTTAAAATTTATGAATATTATGAATTATAGTAGGTAAGAATAATATTTAAAAATATTAAATGACATTTAAGTATTTTTAATTTTTTCATATTTACCTTAAATATTTATATAAGAATTAACGGTAATTTTAATATCGTTTTATTATATTTATCGTAAATTTTTTTTATGAAATTTTGAAAAAAATTCTTCCTATTTTTCAAATACATAAGTAATTTATTTTTTAAAATTGCATTTAAAAATTATTTAAAACAAAAATTTTCATGCTCGAATTTACGATATCGCAAATGTTAATTATTTGCCTTTCAAACACGAGTACTTGTTGGATTCTTTAAGAATTTTTAGAAAAGCAAAATTGAACAATTCCTTAAAATTTAATAATTTAAAATTTAATAATTTTCTTATTTTAATTTTAAAACTAAAGAAAAAATATGATGTAACATTTTGTATATAGAACAAAAAAGTGAAAGCATATTATTATGAGCACGACATTTCCCTACAAATTTTATATATTTACGTAATTTTTACAATTTCATATACATATGTACATGTACTCTTCCCATGTTATTTCAAGATTATTTTCAAATTCATTATTAAATAGATTCTAGACATAAAAATATATTTTTTTTTATCAAAATTATATCACTGTATGTACATACATACATATAAGTACATTATGTAAATACAAATAACGCAGGTTTATTTACTTAAAAATTTGCATGTGTAAATCACGTTAAGATTATAATAAAAAAAAAATTCTACACTTTGAGAATATTTTGTGTATTTGTTTTTATAAAATATATTTAATGATTATCGTAATTAGTTTGTTAATAAAAAAATATGTATATATTATATGTGTATGTACGTATATATATGTATGTGGAAATAGCGAATAATAATCATGCTAATTAAATTATTACGAGTACAAAAGCAAAAAATATGATAACAATCAATTATTTTCAACTCTTTTTGACAAAAGAAATTTGATACAAAATATATGTGTGTGTATGTATGAATTAAGGATAAATTAAGTTATAAAATAAATAAAGATAACAAACATCACAATAGCTAGATGTCACTATTAATATTATTGCTAACATCTTTCTATCTATTTTTCTCTTTAACAATTACAAAAAGAGAATGGTTTAAGAAAGAAAAAGAGAATTTGTAAATTGGAACACATTTTTATGTTAATATCTCAAAATTAATTATACTAAACGTCAGCTGCCAAATTTAGTTTGCAATATTTTAATTGTAGCTCTAAAATTTTTTGATTATTGTCTAAGTTGGTACTAATTAAATATCGTACGGTATTTGAAACAAAAACTTTTAATAATTTAACCGTATAGAATTTTAATGCAACCTCGTAACAATGAAAATATTATAGCATGTTTGTCATATATGTATATATATGTATGTAAATATTCATGTATGTTAAACAAAAAAAAAAAACCAAACATTTAGTTTAAATTATTAATTAATTTAAACATAATGGAAAATAATAAAATTTATCGTCTCTCTTTCTAGTTGAAATCAGTTTCATTTAAAAGAAAACAAAGAAAAATTATAATATATAAAATAAATACTAAACATACATACATACTGGTATATAAAAAAAAAATTGTCAGTCTTTAAATAGAACTTTATATATTTTTCTTATTGTGATTTGACTTTGATTTCAGAGATAGTCAATAGAAATTGTCAATTGAAAAAAACAAAAAAAGCTAATCAATTTTTATAATATTCACATACATACATATATTTTTTGTTGAATTTAAAGACTGCATACATATGTACATATGTCACAAAGAGAGTAAATATTTTATATTATTAAAATTTTATGATTCTTTTTTTTTTTATTAAATTAATTTTTGGTATAAAACAACAAAGTACTGCTAAAATTATTATCTTAAACATTTCCAGTTCAATTTTGTATTTAATATTATTTCTAAAAAATTGCTATTTATTTAAAATAAAAGTTGGTCTTAAACTTGAATTCCTTCAAAATTATAAACACAACTACATATATAACACACATGTATGAACATACATGTGGCAACAACCCTCAAACAAATACAATAATTCAATAAAACAAATTTTCATTAGAAAAAAAAAATTATACCTACATATTTACATATTTTTTAAATTCAATTCAATAAAATAGTGATAGCACAAAAAAAAAAAAAACTTAAACTCGAAAAAATAGAATTGAAAAATAAAAACAAATAAAATAAATGAAAAATTAATAGACTCATTGGCGCCATTTTTATTTGATTACAAAAATTAATCTAGGTTTGTTAAAAAAAAAAACAACAACAAAAAAAACTACCAAATTTATTAATATAAAATGAAAATCACATATACATATGTATATATACTCATCAGGCGACGTCTTCGATTTTCCCCCGTACAATTTATTACAAATTTATGAATAAGCAATATTCCTAAAATTGTCTTACGAAACAAAGGAATGGAATAAAGGTATTTTAAATTGATTTTTCGATTTGTTGCTCGTTTTAATTTTTATTTTATTTATTGTGTGTGTGTCATTTACATTTTGTAATTTGTGTAACGCGGTCTTATATGTACATATGTATATGTAAGTGTGATTAATTCACACAAAATTTGTTTGTTTATAATTTTATTTACAATAATTAATTGAACTTGTATTAAAATTTTATTATAATATGAAGGTCTTCTCTTCTTTGTTTTGATTATTAATTTGATTTTGATTTTAATTTTTTTTAAGATAATAATATCATTGATAAAATATAAAAAAAAATATTTTGTTTTACATACAACTATAAGGTACCTATATAATTATAATTACATTCAAGGTCAATTTCAATTTTACTAAAATTGTATTCTTTAAAAAATTCAGTGACGTTATTACCAAAGTTATGAACGCAAAGAGGCGAGAATTTTGTTAGAAAATATATTTTTTCCTCTTAGTGAAAAATTTGTTCAAAATTTAAAAATTTGTTTTTTTATCAAAATTTCTTAAACGACAAAAAGCTATTGAGATACATAAGTATGAAATTGAACGTGAATTATTACTCAAAATTGTAAATCAAACTCCTTCATACTTTATTAATCCAACCATATTATCCAACTAATTTTGTAAATTTTACCCTCTTTTTCTTCTGTTTTGTCTCAATTAAAATCATGAACAGAATCACATTTGAAATTATCACTAAAACTGGATAAATCTCGATCACTTGTAAATCGTCCTATTCAGGTTCATCATACATATATACATATATTATATTCATACACAATATTAAAATTTCCAAAACAATAATTAAATATATATGTATAAATTTGAACTTTGTATTAATTAACCTCATTTCTAATCATAATTAGTTGATTAATAATCAATTTAATTTTGAAAAAAAACATTGTTGTTCTCTTTTAGTATATAGTACGCTCCAACAAGTTTGAAATCATTTAACACAAAATGTTTTATACACAGAAACAACAAAAAAAAAAAAAAAGAGTACAATTTAATAAATTACTCAAAAATATGAAATTTTAATTATTGTGTAATTAGATCAAAATTAATCGTGTTTTCATACAAGCAAGAATTTTTATGATGAAATATCTTACTTTTATTATTCATAATTTTTTGATATTCTATTTCAGATGTCTCCATATTGTCTACTTTATCTAAAATCAACAAAACAAAAAAAAATTTATGTCTCATTGATATTAAACAAGGCGTAATTTCAAATTTTTCTGATTCAAATTGATTTATCACTTTGCTCTAATCAAGAAATAAAAAAAATAAAAAAGACAACCTCTTATCAGACTATTTTTGTAATTTTAAGATTGTAGCGCGTACACACATAAGTATAAGCACATATGTACATAAAAATTGATAAGAAGAGAGAAAAATTAAACCGATTTTTGTATAAAAAGAGGAGGGAGGGTTTTGCAACGCATTACTTACCTACACATAATATAAATGACTCAAGAGAATAAATAAAATTTGTTCTCAACAAAAACCATTAAACTTGTAAAAATTCAATAAAGATAAAATTTTTTGTAATTTTTATGCATTTATTCATTTTATAAATAAATATTTCATATATATTCTTTTCTCTTTACTATCAATAAATAAATAATAAAATAATTTATCTCTTTTATATTTTTAGAACTTCAAGTAATGCCAGTGATGCTATTTGTATACCAGAAAGGCGTGCTCGTTTAAATACAGTACCAACACGTTTAAATGTTATTAATAATCAATTACCAGTTGTATCAGCTGCATCAACATTAAGTAATGTTAATACAATAAAACGTTCAACATTAATGGGCACACAAGGTTATAATCATGTAACTGATGATAGTAGTACAGAAAGTTTAACACCAGGTCGTACCACATTTGGTATGAATTGTAAGAATGTTCAAATCACTGCATTAGATGCAAAAGATATTAAATTATTGAGTGCAACAACGCACAAAAATCATCAATATAAAGATGAAAGAATTGTATTGGTATCAAGAAAGGTACCATTTTTTATATTTTCCAGTATACCATATTGTAAGGGTAGAAATGGAAGGTTAGTTTTTAAAATTTAAATATTTTATATTTTTTTTTTCTTATTTTATTAATTAATTGCATTTAATTATTATAGAGCTGAATTAAGAAAAGAAGGAAGACGTCGTAATACATCTGGACCGAGACCTTTATCAGCAAATGATGCACCATTTGATCCATTTAGTTTATTAGGAATTGATAGAATTGAAGGTGTACAGGTAATCCAAATTCAATCCAAAATATAAAATTAAAATAATTAGGCTGATAATTTTTTTTTTTTTTTTGTTAATTTTAGGAAATATCATATGGTCATTTATTGGTACCATCAAGACCATATGCAAAAGATAAAAAACATGGTAATACATGTAGTGTTATACCAGAAAATAATTTTGAAATAACTGGAACTGCTGTTTTAAAAAATCATGGAATTGCAAGGTACTTAATATTTCTATTTAATTTTTTTTTTTTTTCTAAATCTGTTCATTTTTTTTTTTTTTTGAGTTTTATAAAACATTATATTTTTTTAAAAAAAATGCTAATTTGAAAAAAAATTAGGGAAATTCATTCAACAATTTTTTGATTTTTCAAAAAAAAAAAAATTATTAAAAATCTTGATGAATTGGCACATATGCTTAAAATCAGTTTTAAAAAAAATTAAAATTTTATGTGTTTAATTTTGTTCCTATTTATTTATTTATTTATTTTTTATTTAATTTTTGTGCTTTATGCCGAAAATTTAAGCTAATGTTCTTAATTTTTCACAAATAATTTTTTAAATAATAATAATTGTTCCCTATGAATATTGATTGTTCACTTCATCCCGAAAGCGTGACATAAGAAATACATAAATGTATAAGTAATTGATTTTAAATTAAATACAATATTTTTGTATAATTAAAAAAAAATATTAATAAATTCGAATTTAAAAAGCCATGTAGAAAAAATGTTAATTAATTAATAATGAAATCCAATTAAACATTTTAATAGTTACAATTGAAAATGAGAGTTTTACAAAAAAATAAAATATTACTGAATTCATTCACTTCTGTCACTCGTTGACAAATGTCACTCAGTCACTCGTTGACGTAATATAAGGTCTGTCATTATTCAATTTTTTATAGCATAGATACTTAATAGAAAAATTGTTTTTATTATAAAAATAAAATTAAAATTCATGAATTAAAGTCGTTGTGCACTAAATTTAAAGTTTAAGATTTTAATTACTAAATAAAATTATAAGTGAATTTTATTATAGAGATCGGCGACTCGGCATTATTTCTCATCATTTTTATAAAAAAAAAAAGAACATTTCTATGCTTTTTCCATTAATCATTTTTACATTATTTTCAATTTTCACTTTTAAATACATAAATTAAAGAATATTAAAGAATATAAAAAAAAAAATTAATTTTTATCTTTTCCTCTATTTTTGTTATAACCCTGGGGTTTTGACATTTTATTTGCGTATTAAAAACCCTGTTCATATTTTGTTTTTTTTCTAATACAACCATTTTCTTCTTTCGCCAAAAATTTCAAATAATTTTTCATATTCTGGGATTAGGTTAGCTTGAAAATAAAAGCTTAATTATTTTTTTACTTTTACTATTAAATTCAATTCATATGTTTGTATAAAATGCTAATTTGCGCAAAAAATACTACCATGTTATGGCTAAAATAGATTTTTTTTTTTTTTTTTTTTTTTTTGGTGTGTAAGAATTTTTGTATTTTCTTTTTTTTTTTTTTTTGTCAAGTCGCATTCATAATCACTTAAATTAAACTTGATGATCAAATTTTATAAAAAAGAAAAAAATTCAAAGCTCGTGCTATGAAATTGGAAGCTTTGAAGAATAATAAAAAAAAAACTAAAAATTAAAACAAGAAATTTCATTTTTTTTTTTTAATCTGCAATTTTATTTTAGTTTTTTTTTTTTGTGCTAAAGCGCCAAGCTTATTAAAAATTAATAAAAAGTGGAAAAAAAAGAAAACGACAAAAAACCTGCTAAGCTGTCTGAATACAAATTCGAATTAAATAAAAAAATAAATTAAAAAATTTTCATTATTCTTATTATTTTAGTTTTTGTTATTCCACAAATGCCTCGAAATATCGAAAATAAATTCAATAAAGGGAGTATTCCGTAATGTCAATGCTGAAATTTTGAAACTGCCTTAAAACCATATTTACAACCTAATCGTGTATCTCGCTTTTATTTAATTACCTTTTATTCACTTTCGATTTGAAAGAATTCTCAGTATTTTCTAATAGATTTCTAATATTTTACTTATCCAATATAAAATTACTCATTTTTTCATTTGGATGCATTTGCATTTTTTCTCAAATCATCAACTGAACGTCTCACTTTCAAAAGCAAGGTGAATAAATTTTGTATAATATTTTAGAGAAAACGTGATACGAAATACAGAATAATTCTTACCGCTCGAAAATTACATTATCGAAATATATGATAGTTATTCAATTTCTTCTCACTTGCCGAGTAAAATAACGAAAATAAACGATCAAGCCATTAAATTCAAAACTAAATACGAAGACAATGCATTGACCAAGCAAAAACAAAGATTTTTTTTTTTTACATTTCGGGACACAAATTTTTTAATTTTTGTCGTTGGCATTCACGTTTTTTTTTCACAGATTGTGAGGTATTATAAAAATCTTTATTGCCATTAAAGATTATTATAAAAGACAGGTCTAAATATCAACTTACTAGTTTATTTAATTCAAAATGCATCCAGAACTTTTGGCATTTTAAAGCACATTTTGCTTTGGTTCTTTACATTTCGAAAACATATTTTACAGAATTCTAAATTCATTGTAAACTTTTTTTAAAATATAAAATGGAACGTGATACATAGTCGAAGTTTGAGTATTACAATACGGAATACTGCCAATATATTATTAATTTTTAGCATTATTTTCCAAAAAAAAAAAGAAAAAACTTTTATGAAATGTAATTAAAAAATATATTATTTTTTATTACTTTAAGGTTATAATAATTTTTTGATAAACTTTTATATACTTAATTTAAATTATAATTAAAAAAATATTATTATTGTGTTAAATTTTAGTCTTTATTCATTCAATTCTTCTTAAGAACTAACAACATATTATTCAAGTTTAAGTTAAGGTTTTTAATTAGAAAAAAATATTATAGGCATAATTATTAATATACCTGCATAAAACAATATGTTAAAGTGAAACCAATAACAATATCAAATAATGTATTAATACAATTAAAAGTAATGTTAATTTAATCATACGATAAAGTGCTTTGATACCCAAGTAGCAAATTAAGGAATTAATTTTTAACACTCCTCCTATCAACGCACTTTACAAATTCATCATTTTAACACAATTTTCATGTTTTAGTCTGTTCAGTCCTTTTGTTAAAACATCTGCAATCATCTCATGAGTTGGTACGTATTTGATTTCGATAAGTTTCTCATCTTGCATTTGTTTACAATAATGGTATTTTATATCAATGTGTTTCGATCTGTTATGATGAGTTGGATTTTTCGAGAGACTTATTGCGCTTTGGTTGTCACAGAATATAATTGTTTTATCTTTACAAAACGGAAGTTTTAAATCGCTAAATAATTTTCTTTGATACATAACTTCTTTAGCAGCTTCGGATAAACCTACATATTCAGCTTCCATTGTCGACAGTGCCACACACTGTTGCTTTCTCGATTTCCAGCAAATTGGAGCGCCACCAAATATGACAACATACCCATAACACGATTTTCGATCACAAACGTCGCCTGCCCAATCTGAGTCTACATAACATTTCAGATCTTCTCCGGTTTTACTATATTTTATTGAATAATCAGGAGTACCTTTAAGATAGCGCAAAACACGTTTGGCAGCATTCCAATGAATTAATAACGGATTACTTGTAAATCGACTGAGCAAATTAACTGCATAAGCTATATCTGGTCGTACTGTATTTGATAGATACGATAATGCCCCAATTAATTCACGATAGGGCTTTTCAATCAATTCCTTGTTTGTAGATTTTGATTGCAATACGTGATTTAAGCTTGTATCTAGCGGTGTTGTTACAGAATTTGCATCTTGCATACCGAATTTTTCCAGAATTTTCTCTATGTATGACTTTTGATGAATTATAATATTTCCTGTTTCATTTTTACGCTCAACTGTAATACCAAGAATATTATTTGTTTCTCCCATATCTTTCATTTCGAATTTTAATGATAAAAGTTTTTTCATCTCATTTACTTTTTCTAAACTGTTTGATGCTACTAACAAATCATCTACATAAATCAAAATAAGAATAATAGAATTGCCATCGTATTTTATAAACAAGCATTGATCAGCACTTGTTTGCAACATATTTAACGAAAGTAAATAGGTACTTAATTTCTTGTGCCATAGTCTTGCGGCTTGCTTTAGTCCATATAGTGGTTTTTGTAGTCTACACACTTTTGAAATATCTCGCTGAATATTTGGTATCTGTGGTAACTCCATATAAATTTCATCATCAAGATCACCTTGAACATAAGCGGTAACCACATCCATCTGATGCAAATAAAGTTCCAGCTCAGCACACAAGGCAAATACGGTCCGAATTGTTTCATATCTTGCAACGGGTGAATATACCTCGTTATAATCAATTCCCATTATTTGCTCACAACCTCTGACAACTAGACGCGCTTTATATTTCGGCGAGCCATCTGCATTCTTTTTCACACAATAAACCCATCGATTACCAAGTATTTTTCTATTTTTAGGACGTTCAACTATACGCCAAGTTTTATTTTTCTGTAGTGAATTGAGTTCAGAATCCATAGCTTCAATCCATAAATCTTTATCGTCAGATTTCATTACACTATCGAAGGATGTAATATTTAAAGGATCTGCTAATGCATAGTTTACTTCTTCATAAAGTTTCCGGGGCCTGCCCCTTTGGCCCGTTCTTATTATTTTCGGTCTGCCACATTTTCTTCTATTTTCAACAGAATTCAACTTTTTTATACTTTTCGGTGATTCAAATTTTTCGAATACTTCAATATCTGGTTCAGAATTCGGGGATAAAAATTCCTCATCTATATTTTCATCTATGTCGTGTTCATCATCAGTATTAACATTGTTTTGCTTGTCACAAGTTCCTTTTTGAAGAATTTCACTTTTGTCATTACCAACATCCAGAGGGTCTATCAGGCCTTTTTTTATTTCAGAAATATTTTTTAATTTAAAATCTACTTCACATATGTAATTATTTGGATTAAATATTTCAAAAAATCGTAAATCGCGCCTTTTAATAATAGACTTGCAACCATCCCATAGACGATAACCTTTTGTTTCAGAGCAGTAACCAACAAATGTGTAAATTTGACCTTTCGCATTTAATTTTGACTTATTCGGACCTTTTTCCAGTGCAACCACCCTACAACCAAAAGATCTTAAAAAATTAATATCAGGTACCTTACCAAATAACATTTCAGTTGGAGTTTTTCCAGGTAAAGCACTACAAGGGCTACGATTTCGAATAAAAGCTGCTGTATTTATAGCTTCCGCCCATAGACTTTTTGGTAAATTTGACTGCAACAACATACATCTTGACATATCTAATAAAGTCCGATTTGCACGTTCAGCGATGCCATTCTGTTGTGGTGTATATTCTACTGATAACTGTCTTGAAATTCCTTGGCTGCTTAAATAATCGTTAAAATTCTTTGATAGGTATTCTCGAGCATTGTCTGTGCGAAGAATTTTAATTTTCTTGCCAGTTTTTCGTTCTACAGATTTTTGAAACTTTTTAAATGCTTCGAAAATATCACTTCGACTCTTCAAGAAAGCCACATCAACATAACGTGATTTTTCATCGATAAAAGTTGCAAAGTAACGTGCTCCGCCTAATGATCGTACGCTAAAGGGACCACATATGTCGGAATGTATGATTCCCAATAATTCACTTTCACATTTGCTTGAATTTTTAAATGGTAATTGGGAAATTTTCGCCTTTTCGCATATTACACATCTCAGTTTATTTAATTTCAAATTTTCATCGATACCTTTTACCATATTTTTAACTTTAATTACGTCTTTAAAATTTAAATGACCCATTCTTTGATGCCACTTAACCAAATCATCATTTAAGGATTCATGTGCAAACATTGAACTTATTTTTTCTGCTTCTACAACGTATAAATTATTAATTTTATTTGCAACTAGTACAGAAGTATTATATTTATTTTTAAATGTAGCATATGTATCTTGAAAAATAATTTTTATACCATAACTGACAGCCTTGGAAACAGATATAAGATTATGACGTAATTTTGGTGAATAAATTACATTATGTAAAATAATTTTGTCAGCATTTCCCATTACCTTAAATTCAACTGTACCTGTCCCATAAGCTTCCATTGTATTGTTATCGGCAATATGTATCAAACGACGTTCATATGAAGTCCAACTTACAAATAAATTTTTGTTGTTGCACATGTGTGCACTCGCTCCGCTATCTACATACCAATCGTTTGTATTAGTAACGCTCGTATTATCATGTATAACTGCACTCATTGCTATTCCTTTTGAATGATTTCTATTTTTCTTCTTTTTACATTCACTACTCTTATGGCCATGCTTTTTACAGTAAAAACAGTTACCATTAAATTTGATTTTATCAGAATTATTTTGGCCTTCATTATTTTTGCTAAACACATTTTTGTTACCTGAAACTTTGTTTCTATGCACATTTGAATAAAATGCATTTTGATTACTTTCATATTTTTCACCAGCACAGTCCTCCCTTCTATTTTCTTCGTCAATTAATTTAATTTTCAGCACGTCTAATTTCGGTAGCACGTCTCGACTTTCAATCGCAATACAAAAATTTTCATATTCTTCTGGTAAGGTATTTAATAACATAATAGTAATTAATTCAGAAGGAAGCTCCACACCAACCTCCTCCATTTGATCCACGCTACTTTGAAAATCCCTTAAAAGCTCTGTCATTGTTTGATCTGATTTCTTTTTCATTTGAAACAGCTTTTTGTATAACATGATTTTTCGTGATGGCCCTTTTGAACGATGAACCTGCTCTAACATAACCCAAGCTTCGTTCGAAGTTTTTGCCTTTTTCACATACTGCAATTGATTTTCTTTTAATGCCAATACAATTAAAGCCAATGCCTTTTCATCATATTTATCCCACGTTTGAATGTCATGAAAATTGCTTCCAGATGAACTTTCACCTTTTTCTAGAACAGGACGTATTTCACTTCCACTCACATAACTCCATAAATCATTATATATTAATACGCTGCGCATTTGCAATGCCCACGATTCATAGTTATGGTCATCTAACTTTTCTATATTCGCACTAGAGTTCATTTTATTATATATATATTTAAATCCGCTTTATTAAACAAATACCCGATAGTATATATTTCTATTACAATAAAAAAGAACAATTATTTCGAGTACCACGCGGTGGCCTTATCTGGGCCCATAACCTGTTAAATTTTAGTCTTTATTCATTCAATTCTTCTTAAGAACTAACAACATATTATTCAAGTTTAAGTTAAGGTTTTTAATTAGAAAAAAATATTATAGGCATAATTATTAATATACCTGCATAAAACAATATGTTAAAGTGAAACCAATAACAATATCAAATAATGTATTAATACAATTAAAAGTAATGTTAATTTAATCATACGATAAAGTGCTTTGATACCCAAGTAGCAAATTAAGGAATTAATTTTTAACATATTGAAATTTTAATGCGTAATAACAAAATTGAATATAAAAATAAATTTTATCAATTTATTTGAATTTGATATCAGAAATAATGTTAAATTTTTTAATAATAAATTTTAAATTTTTAAATAATGTCATTCAATTTAATTGAATTAATTATAAATAATTGCAAATTTATAACATTTACAAAAATCATATAAAATTTTACAAGCCAAAGCTGAAATCAATAAAAAATTCTATAATTACATAAGTAAATTAGCATTATTCAACAATTTAAATAATTTTTTTTTCTTTTTTTATTAATTTTAATTTTACATATTAAGTTAATTTAATAAATTTATTGCTAAATCATGTAAAAAAAAATTAAATGTAGGTATTTGTCAGCATTATCGAAAAATGAAATTGATTTCCAAAAAAATTCCAAAGCAAACAGAAAAAAACAGAAAAATAAAAAATTAGAAAATGCAAATATGAAATATTTTTGCTGTGCTTATATTATAAACAATATATTTTACAATTTAAATAATATTATATAATAATAATAAAAAAAATTCGAATTATTTTTAATTGATAATTATGTTCTAGATTCTAGATTTAACTGTTAAAGTTATAGGATAACAACAAACAGATTTTTAATATTTTTTTTAAATATTTTATTAATAATATAACTGCTACCTTCAAAGTTTGATAAGAGAATGAATAAAAAAGAATAATAAGAAATTATTCTCAATGAATGACAGAAAGTACCTGCTCCGTTCATAAATTGTTTTATGTTTACATATGTAATTTAAGTAATTCACAATGAATAAATCAATTCAAACATTATGAAATTTTTCGTTTATTCAGTTCTAGAATATTTCTAGCTTGTAGTACATTCGAAAATTCACGCTATATACACTAAAAAAAAAATATAGATCGTTCTGAAATTACTGACTGCATTAAAGTACATTCGAAAATTATTGGCTGCAATAAATTACACTCGAAAATTCAATGTGCAATAAAGAAATGTTAAAAATGTAGCACAGATCTCTAGTATAAATTTTGTCATTGTCTCATGAAATTTCTTTATTTTTTCAAATTTAAAATTAAAAAAAAAATTTTAAATTTCAAAATGGCAGATTCCCGATATTGAAAGTTTATTAAAGTAATTTTTCTTTAAGTCTTCAAATCTTGTTAAAATTTCCTTATTTTGCAGTGCTTTATTGGCAGGCGAAAAGTATTGGAATACAATTTCATAAACAATGTCATTTCTTTTATTTTTTCGAACAACTGATCATTTAGAAGTTTGACAGAATTTGTTGAGTGCGTACACAAAACAAAAAAAAAACTTAGCTAAAGTTTTTTTGCATACTGTTTAACGCTGCGCAACTTAGAAATTTTAGTTCTAATGTAGAACTTTCAGTGCAGAGTGCATAAACGAAAACAACTCCTATGTAAATTAATTACAATTCTAATATAAAAATAAATTGCTAATATACATATATGTAATTTGTAAATTCCAAAAATATCCTAAATTTTTAACATTAACAAAAAACGAAATTATTACTTTTTCTAAAATTTACTCGAAAATTACGAATTCTAATATTTAAAATCAATCTGCTTCAAATAAAGCTCTTAAAATAAAAATTATAGATAATTTTACAATTTAGTAGATTCTATTAAGTGTCCAATTATTCTAATTAAATAAATATATAATTTTAATCTACTTTAGCTTAGGGTAGCAGTAACTTTGTTATCTTTGCTTATACAAAATGAGTCAACATTCTTTTATAATTAATATTTTCTAATTAATTAAAATAATTCCAAATTGAAAAACTAGTTGAAAATTTTCGTTCCAATTTAAATATTAAATAAATATTTTTATATTTTATTAAAATTTTTATTGCCCATTTATGCCGATAAATGGGCAAAGTCAAAATGTATTAGTAGCACAACAATTTAAAATATTTTATATTTTTTCTTCAAAAATCTTCCTATCGAAAACTTGTTTTAAGCGTTATATATAATTAATTTTTTTTTTTCTTTAAATTTATTAATTTCTTATTTTTTTTTTCTTAAATATTTTTTATCAACAATATTTTTTGATTTACATTTAAAAAAAAAAAAATAATAAAAGACGAAAAAATACATTTTTACTCATTTCGAAATTCGATCATATCATATTTTTCAGGACAAAAGTTATAACCGGCCAAACAGGCAAAAAGTGGTAAACATACCTTTTTTTTTTTTTTGTTCTTAAACAAAATCTTTACACTAACAAATTTTTTAAGTAATTTTTGTAATTATTTTTTTTTTTTAACAAAAACAAAACAATCGAATTAATAATTTGTCTTCACAACTTTTTTTTTTTATTTTACTGTTAATTTTTGTCGAAATTCCAATTGAATTTTTCAGTATTTAGAAAATATTCTTGTAATTAAGTATAAAAATATTAACAATTTTAGTGATACTAACCAGTGCAACAAAGCTAAATCAACAAAAACAAAGATAATTGGAAAATAATTTTGTAGAACAGTTTTTATATAAAAAATTAAAAAAATCTTTTATACTAAATTATTTTCTTTAAATACTTGCCCTTTTTCTACTTTAAATTTGACATCAAACTGTAAAATAAACTCAGAAGATTCGGTATTAGAAGCATTTTACTCTTCATTTCACATTCTCTCTCTACTCTACTATTTATCTCTCTTTTCAGTGAAATTCATATAAATTCATATAGATTGAAAGAGTGAAATGAGAATTAAAATGCTCTTTATTTTGAAAAAAGTGACAAAATAGGACTAACGAATATTAAACGAAATACAAAAAAAAAATAAATTTTAATAAAAAGTAGTTAAAGGGGGCCGGTATTTTGTGTCTTTTAAAAAAATTTTCACTTAAACAATACAACACACATTGAGTTTTGATTATCTCTCTTCACTCTTCACTTTTAATGTTTTTTTTTTCTTTGTAGTTTGAATTCCTGTTTTTCTCTTCCTTTTTTTTTTTTTGTTCACAAAAAACTAACATAAATGTTGTGTTTGTGTGTTTTTTTATTGTATATATATATATAAATGAAAAAATTAATTTTAAATTTTTATATATATAAAAAAAAAAATATTTTTAATTTACTTTCCATTTTCAAATTTCAATATTAATTTTACATTTTAAATAATTTTGAACAGGTGTTATGCATATGATAATCATACATCAATTGGACGTAATAGTGCAGCAAGTCCACAACCAGATCTTAAATTATTAGATGATGAAAATAATGAAAATCGACCATTTCAATTTCAACAGTATTCAGCTAATTTATTAGATGATCCAGAATTAATAGCTGGTAAACATAGAACATTATTAACATTTACATCATATATGACATCGGTGATCGATTATGTTAGACCATCCGATTTAAAAAAAGAATTAAATGATAAATTTAAAGAAAAATTTCCACATATACAATTAACATTGAGTAAATTGCGAAGGTATTTTTTAATAATATTAAAAATACAATATTTTTATTAATTTTATTTAATAATTTTTTTTAGTATTAAACGTGAAATGCGTCGCATTAATAAAATGGATCCACGTATTGATTTAGTAACAATATCACAGGCTTATGTTTATTTTGAAAAATTAATTTTATCAAATATGATTAATAAAAGTAATAGGAAACTTTGTGCTGGAGCTTGTCTTCTTTTAAGTGCTAAAATGAATGATGTTAAAGGTGAACTATTAAAAAGTTTAATTGAGGTAAATATTTTTTTTTTTTTGATTTTTATTTAAAATTTTTTTTTTAATTATTTTAATAAAAATTTAATTATTTTAATAATTTTTAGAAAACTGAAAGTGTATTTCGTTTAAATCGTAAAGAATTGATTTCATCTGAATTTGCTGTACTCGTTGCTTTAGAATTTAGTTTACATGTTCCTATACATGAGATTTATCCACATTATCAACGATTACTTTATGAATCTTAAAAAAACAAAGAACTAAAAAAATAAAAGAAACTTAGAGCTCTAGATTGAATAAATCAATACTTAAAATGAAAAGAAAGCATATATTTATTAGAAGAATATTATGATTTAATTAAAAAATAAATAAAATAATCACTTTGAAATACATTTTAGAAAAACTATTAAAAAAAAAAAAAAAGAAATACTGACATTTCGAATCGAATTAAAAACAAAAAAAAAAAAAATGATATTTAATATTAAAATATAAAATTTTTTTTTATTATTTTTATTTTAAGTTTTATTATTTAAATTTAAAATTAAAACAAAAAGAACGGCCTCAATGTAGTTAATAAATATAAAATATTTTTATGTCATCACATATGCAGACCTTTTTCATTTTAATTTTTTTTTTTTTAAGTTTTTGTTTTATTTTATTAAATTTTATTTTTTTTTTTTTTTTATATTGTTAAGTTATAATTATATTAAATATCGTTATCATACATTCAAATTATTATTATTTAATTTTAAATTTCGAAATTATGTTTATGATTTTGTCAATGAAACGCGTACATTTTCTTAAATTAAATTAAATAAAATTAATTAATTAATTTTAACAATACTTGTATATGTATATATATAGTGTTAAGTACATAATCGTAATACATAATTATAATTATATATATATATATATATATATATACATTATATTATATATATATATATATTTTATACGAATGAAAATTTATATACGAAAGAGATGAAAACTTAAACGAAAGTAAGTTACAAAAAATAGTAATAATTTTGATACGCCGTCATAAAATGGGATAAAAAAATAAATTGAAAATATTTTAGAAATTGATTACTTTTAAATTTTTTAATTTACGTGACTATTAAAATATTAAAAAAATATAATTACAAATTCCTAATACTTTAAGTATTAGTTCTTAATTTAAAATCAATTGTATGTTCTAGAGAAATTATAGATTTTTTTTTTTTTTCGTTTTTATACGATATGGGTATAATCGGAAAGTAATCAATGCAGCATTGATGTGTTATCATGTAAAAAATCATGTATGTCACGAAAATGTATCAATACGGTTATACTTTAAAGTTTTGGTGTCCAAAAAAAATGTCAAAAATACGCATTATATGCGCATTATATTAAATCAGCTGTGCATGAATATTCTTTGTGATTTTGTATTGATGCAAAGTTTTTTTTCAAAATGATGGAAGCTGAGAATTAAATAATTTATTATTTTAACTTAATAACTAATTAAGTTAATTATTTCTTTATGCACGGTATTAATATTATTAAATGTTCCATTATATTAAAATCACCAAAGCTAAAGTTAAAATTAAAAAAAAATTTTTAATACATTTTCAGTTGTTAATTATTTTAATAATTTTACATAAAACGCCTTTTCAAAATAAACGTCAAAATTACATATGATTTAGAAAGTGTTCAAATATATTAAAATAATATTGCCTCAGCAAAGGTAAACGCTTCACATTAGCGGTATAGCATTAGCAACTTTTTTTTTTTGTATCGACACTGCATTGATGCACGGGCCTTTCCCAGTATCGTCAAATGCATGCAACTGACGTTAGTCATGAATCCCAAGGCAACATGACGCTAGCGTCATAAATCCCAACATATATTGCTAACGCAATTGATTGTCATTTTAGTTTTTTTTCGCATGTTTTTAAAGGCTAATGCATAAGTGATTTGTTTGAAAATTGCTCAAATTACAGGTGATTGTCATTTGCTAAATCAAGCGATTGACGTGATTGACATGATCATCAAATCTTTGACATACTGGGAAAGGGCCCACGTTTTTGATTTATTTCCGAAAATACCTTTTGTTCTTTTGTATACGAATGAATTAATTGAAAAAATTTCAAATGTTTGTCAAATGTTTTAATTAATATTATTATTATTATTATTAGTTTATTTTATTTAAAAATTTTTTAATTACATAATACAAAACTATTTAAATTATTTTGTATAACAATAATCTTTTTTGAATAATTTCAATGCTAGATCAATAAAAGTATAACACTTAAAATTTTAGTATTTTATCATTTGAAAATTTAAAAATTTATTCAGAAAATTTGTGTTTTTTTTTTAGTTCCTCGTTCCTTTCGTAGTTATTATGATTAAAATTTGTACATATTTAATAATTTTCTTTTTTTCGCGGATAAAAATTGTAAACTTTTTATATACATATACATACCTAATAATTTATTTAAAATTAAGAGAATTTTTTAAAAGAATAACAAATTAAAATTTTGAAATTAATATGAACGTAAAATGAACGTATATAAATAATAAAATCAATTTTTTACGAGTAACGTAAATTTAAGAATATCTTCTTTAATTTGAAAGTAATTGAAAATATTAGATAAATTATTTTCTAAGAGCTATATAATATATATTGTATATTAGAAAATTAATAATAATGATTGCAAAATATAGAACCACACAAATAATTATTAAAAAGAAAAAAACAAAAAGAAATAAAATACAAATCTATATAGTAAATAAATTTTGTTTTTTTATTTTAACTGACAGTATACATACGAGTATATATAAAAAGGAAAATCAAATAATTCACTTCAAGCTACATTTTATATTTGAAAAAAAAAAAAAATAAATAAATTTTTCTTTCAGATTTACTTGTTTCTTTCAAATCAACTAATTCTGATACAACATCTCCCATCCAGATGATTTCTTTAAATATTTTAAAAATATGAAAAATTTCATATTCAGCACATTTAGCTATTTCAAACTAATGACACCAATTTAAACAAAAAAACACATTGAAATGAAATCAATAAGGAAAATGAAAGGAATAAAAAAAAGGAAATCTTTAATAATTTCAAAAATCCTGAATAATATTTGGAAATTTATGCAGAATACAGAAAAGCTAATACAAAAATATTAAAAATAGGAAAGAAGATTTTCGAAATATTTAATTTTTCCGATTTGTTGTAACCATACTCAAGTAATTCTTCAATATTCAACTATTATGCTCTTCTGATATCAGTTATTCTTTCAAAAAATTTCAATATTCCAAAAAAAAAAAAACTTTAAGCATAACTATTTTCGAAAATTCTATATTTGGAAATTTTACCATTACCATTATTCTATATTTTAGATTTTAGATTTAGAAGAAGGTACTTCATATTAAAACTAAAATTTGGAACTGAATTATAAAAAATTCTTAAGCTGTACTCAAATGTTTAAACTGCACAATTTTATATATAAAATAAAATCTAAATTAGAAAAAGAAATTGAAAATACAAAAAAAAAAAAAAAACTGCTAAATTTTTAACACTTTAAAGGGTAATAGAGGCCTTATTCTTTTATTACCTTTTGAACTTCTTTAAAAATTGCATTTTCTAGCATTTTGAAGCATTTTTGATTTTTATTCAACAATGATATTTTCAATGATAACAGTTATGGATCAATGATATACATAACTGATCCTACAGAGCCCCCTTTAGCAATACTATTGTATTTACTTGTTTCTTAATCAATTTTTTTCTCAAATCTGTTAAGAGCAAAATATAATAAAAATGTATATAGTCAACCCTCTTATAACGCGATACTCGAAGAAGGCGATTTCCATATAACGCGGAACTAAAATTGTAAACGTTCCTCCTTTCACAAATGGTTAAACATTTCAGAGCACTTTCACAGTGCATACGTTAACCGACTCATATCTGACAGCGAGGATGAATATTGAAAGATTTATATTTTACAAAATTTTGTCTTGTTTTTTTGTTGAAAAACAGTTTTTTAATTTAGTTTTTATTCCATTTTTTTTTTAAATATTTTTGTTATACGAACTTTTCAATTCAATTAAATAAAAATAATTTGTAATTTTATCTTGTCTTTTTTTGTATTTATTGGTACTTCATATAACACGGTACGAATGATATGATTTATACTAAAATCTGAATTTCTTATAGCAGCGCTGTTTCCAAACATCGCGATAGATGGTTTCCATTGAACGTGTCACAAATTAGCCTGGTTTGTACGATTAAATCCGAATTTCTTATAACGCGGTTTATCATATAATACGGTATGCACTTACCGAGTTATAGGACGGTTAACTGTATTATCCTGAAAATAGAAAAAATTGATGAAAAAGATGAAAAATTATTAAACAGATATTTTTTTTTTCTTTTTATTTCTTTTTTTTTTATTATGTATTAACAAAAATCTCTTTTTTTCGCTTATAACAAATAAAATAATTTTTAATTATATTATTTTTATTATTTCTTTTTTTTTTGTTTTTAATTTATGTGTTGCGCATAAATTTTTTATATAATATATTTATACATATATATATATATATATATATATATATATATATATATATATATATATATATATATTGTATATTTATTTTTTAAATTATTTTTGAAGATGTTTTTTTTTTAGTAGTTTTTACTTATATAGAAGTTTTTTGTTTTTTAAAGTTTTCTGCATTTTTTTTTCTTTTTTTAATATCTTTTTTTTTTGTGTATGTATATTTTTTAGTATAATACATATATTTGTTTGTTTTTATTAATAATTTTATTTTAATTAATTTTTTTTTTTTTTTTTGTTAAAAATTAATAACAAAGAAGATAAATATAATTTTGTATTGTGTATTTTATTTTATTTTTATTTCAATTATAAATTTTATTTATTTATTTTATCTATGACAAAAAGTATATTTTTATTTACTTTTTCATAAATCTTAAGTTTATTAATTTTTTTAATAGTTTTTAGTTACAAAGAAAATAATATAAATTAGGTAAAAAACAAAAAAAAAATTAGTTTATTACATAAATATATTTTAATTTTTTAATTACTTTCTACAACAAATAAATTTATTTTGACTGACTTTTTTTTTTAATTTTTTAATTATATTATTCGTATATTATGAAAAATAATTTAAATAATTAATTAACACTGAGCAAAAAAAAAAAATATTGAACAAAATACAAAAGAAAAAAAAATTATAAAAAATTACATTTAAACTTTTATTTGACACGCACGGAATGTAAAATCTAAAAAAAAAAAAAAAAAAAATGACAAGAGAGAATAAAATAGACCTTTTGATTATATTGACTTTGTATTCATTAATTGTTGAGACCATATCCTTTACTTTTCATCTATATATTTAAAGAATAAAACCCCGTCCACCAAAATAAAATTGATGTTCTTAAAAATCTTGTAATTTTGGTACAATCTGAATTTTTAACGAATGTAAGAATGTACTATACTAAATTCTCTTTGTATCCATTAAGTCAAAAACAAGCAAAATTTACGCCAATTTGACATATTTGACAACAGACCAAAAATTACAGTATGCATTGAAAAATGAATCATCAAAATGTAAGTGGAAAAACATTTTTGTTTTCTTTTTTTGTAATTAAAGGTACACGCCTGACTAAAATAGAATTGCAATACGATTATATTGGTTTATCAAAATGTTTTAACAAAAATTAGATTGCATATTCTTGCGTTTAAAAATTTTTAGTCTACAATTTTTGTAGACACCCCTAAGATGTTTAGGAAATATTCTAATCTGATGATAATAAGATGCGTGAATTGAAAGGATAAATTAAAAGTAAATAAAAGAACGCTCAACAGAAATTACTAAAATGTACAAAAGATCCCATAAAAATAAAATTGAAAATTTTTATTTTTAAATATTTATAAAAATTATTTGTTTTGTTATCTATTAATGTCTATGAATAAATTCAAAAAAAAAAAAAAAAAAACAAAAAATTAAAAATATTAAAATATTAAATGTAATGTATATAAAATAGATAAAAACAAATTATATTAGAAAAATTTAAAATTTATAATTAATTAATTAAATTCGATTACTTTTATTTAGATTACTTAGTAAATTTTTCTTTTGAACAATACGAAAGAAAAAGAAATAAGAAATTAAAAATGATTTTTTATAAACACAAAATATACACATTTTTTTTTTTTTTTTTTCCTACAAAATTTGAATTTTAATTGAATTTCAAAAAAAAAACGCAAACAAAAATATCGGAAATAAAGAAATTAAAAAATAAAATATGAAATTTTAAAATTAGAAAAAAAAAAAATTATTGAATTGGATTATTTGAGACGATTTTTAAGATTTATTAAGAACTCCCTATCATCATTTGCACAAAAAAGTGAATGAATGGCAATACAAGTGATAAAATAAAAGCTACTTCTCATCAAAGAAAAAAAAAATGAGTGAATAATAAACAGCTCTACAAACACACTTGACACTAAAAATGATTGATAGGTGATAATTAAAAAGTGACTGATAAAAAAACAATGATGACCAACGGGGCGGGCACAACAACCTCTAAATAATTTTTTTTAATTTTTGCATTTATACTTAAATTTACTAATAATTTTATTTAATACAAGAAAAAATAAATAAAATAAATCTTTTTTAAAATAAATTAGATTTTAAATTACCACAAGAAAAATTAAAATTTTAAAATAAAAATAAAAATTCATATTCAAATTTGTGGTAAATTTTGAAAAATTTTTCTTCTTAAATTTTAATATTGCAGGAATTTTTAATTTATATTTAAAAAATTTATTTTAATAGTGATTACTTTTGTTTTCGTGATTTTATTTTCATGATTGTGATTATTGTTTTTTTTTTATTGAAGAATAAATTAAGATTCAATTAGAATAGACATAATTATAATTAATAATGTTAAATTTAAATAAAAAATTATATTTTTGTATTGAAAATAAATTTTAATTTCAATTCACTCCAACAATTATTTTTCTTTTTTTTTTTTTAATTTTAAAAAGTATTTTTTGTGTTAAACATAGAGTTGAAAATATTTATTCAAAGAGGTTTTCGATTTTTTTCGAAAAATTAATAAAACAATAATTTTTTTTTTTTTATAATTTTTTAAAATTAAAATCTAGTTTTGAAAAGATTTTTAAATTCCAAAAAAATTATTATGAAAATATTTTATTAATTTATTATTTTATTATATTTTTATTAATATTTATATTAAATGCAATTTTTTCTATATCAATAATATTAAAAAGATATTAAAAAATGTCTTAAATATTTATTGCAAATATTTAAAAATAAATATTTTATTTAAAAAAAAAATAAAAAAAATTCATGCATATTTATTTTTTATTTGTTTCTTTTTTTGTTTCTTCTATAAATATTTTTTTTATTTATGAGAATTTTAATTTTAAAAAATTCACATTTACAATTTCATATAAAAATTTTAAATCTTTATTATTATTATTGTAATTATTTTTTTGTTATGTCTACTCTAATTGAAATAATTAAAAAACATTTCTATCTTTTTTTGTTTATTTCTAAAATATTTAAGATATTTTATAAATATTATTTGGAGGATAAATATTTAGGATGTAGTTTGTATTTGATAAAAAAAAAAAAATTTTCATTTCATAAGTAGTTTTCTTTTTTTCTTTTATATATTTTATTTTATTTGTAAATTTTTGTTTTTCTGTATTAAATATTACCACAAACTTAGAATTTGATTATAAATTGTATTCCTTGTATTACTTGTAAGATTAAGATTTTTTTATTAATTTTCTTTTAGTTTAGTTTAAAATTAATTACCTTTTTTTTTAAGTAGTTTGGTTTTTTCTAGTTTTTATTGTTGTATAATTTTGTTGTATAATGCATTCTTTATTTTAAATATTATTTTTAAAATGACACATGTTTTTTTTTTTCCTAAATCCAAGCTTTAATAGTTTCGTCTTAAATTTAATTAATAATTAAATTTTTTACTTTTTCCTTTTTTTTTTTTGTTCTATAAATATTCTTATAATTCATATGGTTTATTTCTTATTAAATTTTAATTTCTAAAATTTTAAATATTTATTTTATTTAATAATGCCATTATAAACCAATATAGATAGTATTAATTTTTGTTTTATGATTAAAATGAAAAACAAAAAAAAAAAATTGTAAATAAGAAAAATAAAAATATTTTTATATTAGATTTCATATTACAATATTAAATTTTTGAATTGTTAATTTCAATGATATTTTAATTATGTTTATTGTAAAATTTAAATTATATAATTATGTAAGTCACATTTATTTATATTTTCATTAAATTTGTACTCATATCAATCAATACAAGTTTTATCTATTTTAAATAATGCATTTGTTTTATGACAAGAAGAATGCAAAAAAAAATAAATTAAATTTATCAAAATATTAAAATAGCATATATTAATATTGCAAAATTTTTTAATCGAATTTCCAAAAAATAAAATTTATGCAAATTTCAATTGGAAATTATTTCAATTTTATTTATCAAAATTGAATTTTCCAATTATTTTTTTTGCTCTATATATTAATTATTATTTTTAAAATCATTTTCATATTATTTAGTATGAAATATGAAAATGAAATTTAGTATGAAATTTGAATGTAAAAATTTTAAATTGTATATTGAATCATTTCCAATTTTCCACTGTCAACGTAAAAATTAATTAAAATTATTATTTAATTAAAAATAATTTTTTTAATTTATTACAGTAAAATATTTAAAAAAAAGACAAATAATATAAGAACATAAGAATAGTGCGACTGTATTAACAAGATTACTTTTTTATTTTTACATTTTTCGTTTGAAAATATATCATAATTCATTTTTAATATACGAGTAACACAATGAAAATAAAATGTAAAAAACAAAAAATTTTAATTTAAAAGGCATTAATATTTTTATTTTAAATATCTAAAATAAAGAAAAATTATATTCAAAGAAGTGAAGGAAAATAATGGCTTTTATATTTATTATTACATACTAATAAAAATTTATAATTCTCATTAGTAGAACACATTAATATTCATATTTTTTTTTGGCAAAATAACATTCAATAATAATATCACTGAAAAAACTGCATACTATTATGTTTTTTTTTTTACTAAGAGCCAAAATCTAATTTTAGTAATTTATAATTTAATTATATATTATGCTCATACATGTATACAAAAACATATTATTTATATACATTTTAATATTATACAACAAACAAAAACATTACTTTATTAAAACAAAAAGAATTAAATTTTTGCTTACAAGCATATTTTACAACTGTATATTCCATAATAATATCGCTTCATTTATAATTTCCAATTCAATTAAGTGTTAACACATTTAAAGTGATAAATATTTAAAATATTTATAATAAAAAAATAATTATAGATGAAGTTGATTAAAATTCGATAAAAAAAAAAATTTCAAAATAAAAAGATTTAAATTTTATAAAATGTTTATAATGACAAAGTAAAATGATATGAAATTCAAATTAAGTAACAAAAAAAAAACTATTAAGTCACTGTCATTTTCATGAATTGTCACAATAATTAATTTATTATTAATTATTGTGACAATTAAATGACAATAATAATATACTTTTATAAAGTATATTAGAATGAACTTTTGAAATACACTTAAAAAACACAATTAAAAAAAGAAAATTCAAATAAATTTTGGCAGTTCCCTAAAAATAGTGTGAAATACAGGATTTCATTATTAGTTTTCCTGATTCTTTTTAATCGTAAGCCTAATTGCTTTTATAATTTTTTAAATAATTTTCCTATAAAAAAAAAATAGTTTTCTTTTTTTTTGTTTGTTTTTTTTTTTGTAAATATATTTTTAAAAAAAAGAGATACAAAGGTTAAGTTATAATAATATTAATGTTAACATAAAATAGAAAAAAACACATTGTTTAACATAAAAATTATATTAATTATTGATATTAATTAAAAATTAATTAATAAAAAAAAAAAAAAAAAGTAGTTCGTTAGTATAACGATTGTTCTTAAATTAAATTATTAAACATTTACATTATTTTATTAATATTAATTCTTTTTTTTTGTATATTTTTTATTATTACATATATATTAATAAATATTAATTTATTATTTTTTTAATTTATTTGTTTGTTTTTTTTTATTTCATTTCTTTCGTTTCTTCTAATTTATTAACAAATTCAATAAAATTTCATTATTGATATTTTTTTGAATTTTTTCTCTTCATTTAATATTCCATTTAAATGTTGATATTTTAAATTTTTTATCCTATTTCTTGATTTTTATTCCATATTCGTGTTTTCTTTTTATTTTATAGTATATAATTTAAATTTGAATTAAGCTAATTTAATATAACTTTTGTTTTCTATTATTTTTTTAGATAATTCAAATAACTAGCGCCATATCTTTTTTACTTGGCAAATTAACTTTTTTTCCTTGCCACAGTGAATTGTGAATTGTGAATGCGTCTATTGTTACAGTTAAATGTTTTGTATGCACTTGAGAGAAGCATTTACCACCAGAATTATACCTTAAAAATTACAAAAAAAAAAAAATATTTTAAAAAATTAAATTTTTAATCAAATATCATTTTCTTGTAAATATAATTTATTACTCACTTGAAAAATTTATCAAACATGACTTCATCAACTTGACTAGGTCCTGTACCATATAATTTAAGAACTTGTTCATTTTCTGGCCAATAACTGTATAATGCACGAAATTGGCAGCCAGCATCACGGAATAATATAAGAAAATGTTTAGCTTCAGAACGAGCAATTTTTTCCAGCACCTTCTGTTTGGCATCACGATTAACAGCTCCAGGAAATACACAATATTCAACAGCATTTAATATAATACCACGATTGGATTTAGCTGCTGGTTGTTTATATAATTTAGGCCCTAAAAAAATTATTTCATATTCGGAAAAAATATTAATTTTTTTTTTTTTAAATCGAATAAATTTTGAAATATTTGTATTGGTTTTATTTTTTTTTTTTTTTTCAATATTAAAAAGAAATCACAAGAGTTTTGTAATGAAAAATTTAAAAAAATTTTTTAACTTTGCATTTTTAATTATTTATATTAACAAAGTAGCATAATTTTCTCACAAATTTTAATTTTACATTACAAAACGTCTTGATTTTCTACTCTACAGCAAAATTAGTTGAGTTAAATTGGAGTTTTAAAGATTTTAGATAGTTTAGTTATAGTTTTAAATTTCATATACTTTTCTGTTGGCTTCTTTTAATCAAAAATGCAATTAAAGAAAAAAACAAATTAAAAAACAAAATAACAAAACTTAAACAAAACATTCGCTAAATTCATTTCTCACAAAAAAAAAACAAAATGCATTCAAAAAACAAAAACTTACAAGAAAAAAAAAAAAACAAAAAATAAAATAACAAACACAACAATCTCTTAACTTAAAACAGTGAAATTAAAAATTATCAATCGAATATGAAAATGAATAAAAATCGATACTGAACAATCGATTGATGTTATGACATTTTATGAAATTTATATTTGTGTTCTAAACAAAACAAAAAAAAAAGTACTGTTACTTTAAAAATGTCACAAAACAAAAACAAACGCGAGCGTTTTGAAGATGCAACATTGTAAAACATGAAAAGAACGAAAAAAAAAAAATAAAAAAAATATAATGAAGGAAAATGTATAGAAGGATTGAAAGTTTTTTAGAAGGAAAAATCATGTTTACACTTTTTAAGATCACTTGTCAATTTTTAAAAATAAAAGTATTTTCTCTCGGTTCTTTTTCTTTTCTATAATCTTTTTTTTTTTTATTGTTAATGTATTTTCTATTAATTTGGTATTTTCTAACGTCGAAATGATGATACGAACCCGAATATTCCATCATTGAACTGGCAGCTGAAATGTCACTAGATCCATCATCGAATATTCGACGTTTTGTCATTAAGCCTGGTGGTAAAGAACCTGGACCAGATGGTGATGGTAAATGCCTACCTGCTGATGATGATGATGATGATGGCCCCATACCAGGTGATGGAGCCCGACGTGGAGGCGTTGCACGTCCAATACCAGAATCTGTATCTAGGCAAAATTTCAGGTAAAAGCAATAAAACAAAAAATATATGAAGGAAGAAAAAAAAAAAAGAAAGAAAAAAAAAACCGAAAAATAAATATAATGAAGAAAAAAAAAGACAAATGGCATTAACAAATGTCAATTTTTTTTTTTATTTTTGAGAAATAAGTTAAAATTTAATGATATTTGTTAATTTTTTGTTTTAACATTTGATTATTTATTTTAATTAAATACAAATGTAAAATTAGAGAGATTTTTAAAATGCACAAAAAAAAATTAAAAAAAAAAATAATAATAAAATTTGATATGAGTAATGAAAAAAAAATGTGAAAAATTGTGTTTAACAATAATTATGGACAATGAAATGATAAAAGCAAGAAAGCTGTAATTTTTATGTGTGGATTGTTTGTTGAAAAGTATATAATATTATGGATAATATGAGATTTTTTGGTAAATTTATTATTACATAATATAAACACTATTTATTTTATTTGCACTTTTTATTTGAAATAAGCATTAGCATAATTTTAGGCTAAATTTAGACTAATTTTAGGCTAAATTTTAATATTTAGTTTATTAAAATGGGAATCATGCAATCTTTATTAGACAATAATTTTGTAAATTTATCGATCGATACAAATCAAATAACAAGGAAAATTTTGAAAATTTTTATGAATCCAAATATTTAACAAAGAACAATTATTATATAAGGGGCGGGGGTGATGAAAAAAAAAAAAATGTTTCTGTCAATTTTATATTTAATTTTTTTTCTAAAATTATTATTTAATTAAAAATGTCACTATAAATATTTTGTTTCTTTAAAGTACTGACAACTTTTTATTATGGATTGAAAATTAACAAATTCACTATATTTAATGGGTTAATTTGATTGGTATATTTGGGGTACTTTCCTATATCGCCTTAAAAATTCATAAATACTCATATCGAGTAACAAAAATTTTTATTATAGTACTATTGTAAAAAATGACATATTATCTAGTTGGGATAATGAGAATATTAAGATTAAATGGGTTTACATTTTTTTTCTTAGAAAATTTAATAAATTTTTTCTTAAATTATTTGATTAGAAAGTGGAGAGGAAATGATTTTCCTTCAAACCAAACATACAACATAAATATTTTATTTGGATAATTTTCATGAAAAACTAATTACAACATATAAAAAATTAATTTTAATTTTTAAAAAAAAAATTCTTTTAAATTCATAATAATTGCATATTTTTTCTCAAAAAATTTTGAAGTCTATCACACACAGTATTCAAACTTAAGGCAATTGAATGAAAAATTAAACATCAATTTGAATAATTTATTCTGTCATGAAAAACTAACTGTGCAATATAAATTTCTTTATGACAGCTAAAAAAAAGAAATTACTATGACAGCACAATTTCTTAAACTATTATTTCTTAAAAATAAATTATTTTTATTTCAAAATTAATATTCGAATCTCACACATTTAAATTACAATTTCAAATAGCAATATATTAATATATGTATGTATAGAAAAATATTTTAAATAATTACAAAAGATTATTTGAAATTTTCAAATTTTTATCTAATTATATTTGAGTATAGATGAGTTTAATGAATATTCTAAAATGTACAAAATATGATTGTACTAAAATACATTATAGTACTAAAATTATTTAAGAACTAGTTTAATTTTATATTTTAGATATTTTATGATTGATATGAAAATGTGAATGAAATGAATTTTTTAAATGTTAGTAATTTTTTTCTGAAAATAAAAGAATAATAATTAACTGAATATTTTTTCTTATACGACACTACCACAAAAAAAAAAAAAAAAAAAACATTAATATTCTTATAATTTTTGTGTTTTCTTTGTCACTTTAAATTTGAAAATAAATGATTTTTGTTCTTTAATCTATTTTATAATGATTTTTCAAAATTAGCAAAAAAATAAATATTTATTTTATTTTTTCCAACAATTAGTTTAACTAAAGAACATGAAACTTTTGAAGCATTTTTTTATGATTTTTTTTTTTAAAATCATAAAAATTACATGTTTTTTATTTTTGAGAAAAATACTTTTTTTTTTAAATTTAAGAAAAATCATATTAATTTAAATAAGGAAAAAAAAATCAAAAACTAAAAATAAGAGCAAAAGTGGGGACAAAGTGGCCTTAAAGTATGAAAACCATTTTTTTTTTTTTGTTTGTTATCCAAAGATTATGTGTGAAATTATTGAAAACTATATAAAAAACTATTAAAATAAAATTACAGAAACAAAAAGTACTGAAGAGAAAAGAAGAGAAAAAATAAATAAATTAAACCTTCAATTAAGAATTTTACAAAAAAAAAACTATCTAAGTGTTTTTTTTTTTCAACTACGTGTATAAATAGAGAATGTGTAAGAATTTTGCTGAAATAATTTTGAAATAATTTTAATTTTCTATTTTATTTTACCACACACCAAACTAACTATTATAACGAATTAGAAAACTATAAAATAATAATTTTTTTAAAATAACAAGAAACTAAAAAAATAATATAGTATATAATATAGTGTACACCTTAAATATCTATATCTATATATATATATATATATATATATATATATATATATATTACTGATAAAATTAAAAATTTAAATATACATTAAAGTTTTTTACTCCAAATAAATTCGCATGAATAAAAGAAGCCCCAATTACAAAAAAAAAAAAGGTAAAATAATATACATACATATTTTTTTTTGTGTATAATTAAATTTGTTGATAAGAAATTAAAATTATTTTGTTTTAAAATTAAAAATATATTTTTAACATGTATAATAATAATAATAATAATAATAATATAGTAGGTATGGCAAATGTGTTTTGGAATACGTGATTTTATATAATATTTAAATTTTTTGAAATTTAATTAAATATTTTTTGTATGTTTTGAGTAAATTTATGTAAAACATGTAAGGAAATAAAAAATATATATATCAAGATTGTAAAAATTTAAATTTGAATTGTAAAAATTTTAATAAAAATAAAATTATAAAATCAATCTGCACTCAAGAAAGAAATAAGAGGAATATTAAATTGTCAATTTTTCAGTAATTGAGAAAATTATTGCCTTCTTATCTGAGATAATTTCAACAACCGAAGGAATTTTAATTACTCATATTAATTTATTATTTAAATTGAGAATAATAATTCAATTCAATTCAATTTGTAAATTATGATTTTTGACATTAATGTCATTCTTTGAGAACAATATACCAACAAATATGTACGTATTTTCTCTCTTCATGAAGTAAATTCTTTAAAAAATAATGAAGCAAAAAATAAATTCCGCTGACACAATTATTTTTAGAATATTGTATTTAATTATTATATTTTTTCATGAAAAATTTTATTATTTTCATGAATAATTTTACGATACCATTAGCATATCGGATTTTTATAGAATTAAACATTTAAGTATTTGAAATTATTTAAAAATAAATTAGGAAATATTGAATTATTTCATTATTAAATATATTCAAAAAAGAGAATTATTTAATATATTTGAAATAATATTTGAAAAAGAGTTGATCTTATAAAATATATATATTAGAATTACAAGATATTTATATTTTCTGATGAAAATTACATTAATATTTAATGCAAAACATTTTAAAATAATATTGTAATGTTTAAGAGCGTATGACTGCACATACATACTCAGCCCTATCATTAATTCCCCTCGGAGAATACTACGAATTTCGAATTTATCTAAGACTTTTAAATGATCGTTAAATTCTTTTCGTAGAGATTATGAATCAGCAATGGTAACACAATTTTTCGGAGTATCAAAAATCAGTATTTTATTTCAACTGTCAAATGTTTATTAATGTTGCTATTTGAGTACAAAACTTTCATAAAAAAGGATATTTTTTTAAAAACGGAGTTTTGAGTTTTTTTTTTTTTTTTGAAATTTGAAGAAAATTTTTTTTTTTAGCAAATTTGAATTAATTTCCCTTATGGTAGCTGTTTTAAAAGAACTTAAATTCAAACAAAAAAATTAAAAACTTGAAAATTTATAATACTCGTAATCAGTCTCTTGAAATTGCTTGTTACGTGGGGGTATTTCTTTTGTAAACTATTGAGGGTTATTTTTACTACGAACATAATATATGATTACTGCATTACGAATATTCGAATTTTTGGTAATTCGGAATTGAGAATATGAAATTCGTAATTTTTCGAATTTCAGAGCTACGAACGAAATTTATGATATTACTGACTACAAAATATATATATATGTATATGCATATTTGAATAAATTTTTACAATGACATTTCGTGAGAACTTTCTCACTCAGACGCTTTATAAAACTATCTTAAATATGTAAGTAATTAATTAATTTTTAATATTTTAAAATTATTAAAATTTCTATATTTTTTATTTCTTCTTTTTTTACAATCTTGAAGCCATCAAATAAAAAAAGATATACGAAAATAAGCGAGTGTGTAAAAAAAAAAAAAAATTTTTTTTCATAAACTGATCTAGGCTTTATAATTTAAATCAGTCTGCTATACACTGTAGAAGATTGTTCACCACAACCACAATTAATTTAATATTTAAGTGTGAAAAGTTTTCTGCTTAGTGTAATTTTTTTTTTTTTTTTGTTGTTTGTTACTTTAGAAAACTTTTTCATTTTTACATATTTGAAATAAATTTTTTATTTAAAAAAAAAAAAAAAATTTTTTTTTTTTTGTTTTTAATTGGGCTTACCGCACAAATTCATGAGAGAATTTGATTTACGCCCTCGGAAATTTAATGAACTTCCTTTTGCTATCGAAATACGTGATAATGTACGGCCTCGTTCTAGAGTCGGTTCTGTAAAAAATTTCCCCATTGTAATTTTTTTTGTGTTGTTTTTCTTTCTATTTTTATTTTTGTTGTTTAAATATTTTTTTTTTTTTTGTACTATTTTCTTAAGATTTTTTTTTTTTAATGTTTTTGAAAATTAAAAATAAATTTGATTCTAAAATTTGACATATAAATAGTAGTCCCATAATATTTCATAAAAAAAAAAATAAAGTAAAACATTTAGATCCATAAAAAAAATTTAATAAAAATAATTATAATAATAATTTAGATTTAAAGAAATAAATTAAAATATTTAAATATTTTGTAAAAAAGAAATTTTTTTGAAAAAATTTTCTTGGATTAAAAAATATAAATAATTTAAATATAAATTAAAAATAAATAAAGAGAATTTTTATATTCCGAAATAAAACCAAAATTTGATTTTTAATATTTGGCTAATTTTTTAGGAATCATTAAAGGAATACATAATGCAAAAAAAAAAAAATCAAAATCGAATTAAATAGAATAATTTTGACAAAATGATGCAAAATACAAGCATAATAAAACCTTTGATAATTTATTTTTTTTTAAATTAAGAAAATAAAATTTGAATTTGACATTCCCACCAAACTTTTAAAAAACCTATATTGCTTCTTTTTTTCATAAATTTAAAAGATGATATATGAAATCTAAAAATTTTTATTGATGACGAAAAAATAGTCACAATTATTAATTTAATCTTCAGTCAATTTAATATTGTGATTGAAGAAAATATTTTATCTTATGCAATTAATATAATGACTATCCAAAAGATGTCACTATACGCACAAAAATGTAAAAGTTAACAAATATCGGATCGAAATTTTAAACAAAGAATTAAAATTTTCATAAAACATTTTGTTGTAATTAAAAAATCTTTACGAAAAATTCAATAATTAATGAACAATAATTTTTAATTTTTCAACAATACTTTTCATAATACTATTAACAATTACATTAGTTGCATCTGCGCTAGTTTTAAAAATTTTCACATTCTATTTTCTATTTCTATAATTCCTAAATTTCAGTTTTTCCTTGAACTATCTCGAAAAATAATTTGTTTGCGTATTAATTTAATTACGACAATGCAAATGAAATCTTGAAGTACCAATAATTTTTTTTTTTCTTAATTAATAAAAAAAAAATAGCTTATGTCTAAATCCCAAATAATATATACTATCATTTTCGAATGAAATATCCCCCTATCATTTTCGAATGAAAATATGTTTTCTGTTCTATCTTTTTTTTTTTATATAGAAAAAGTTATTTCTCCAATTATCTCCAATTTACTTAATAAAATTCTTGTTAGAAATTTTAGTTTTTGTTTGTTATACTATATTTATATGGTTAGTGAAATTATATATATATTTTGTATATAATAATTAAAAATATAATAAAATTTTTCCCAAAATTCATGCATTTTTTAAGATAATTTTTATAATAGAAAAGTAATATCGATATAGATTTTTTTTTTCGAAAAATCGAATAATAAGGCTCCGAATGGTGTTTTAAGTCACAATTAACAAAATTCGCTCATATCACTTAGTTTATTAAAATTGTGAATATAATATTATTATTAATTCATTTTTACATCCGAATTTCAAAAATTCAAATAAATACTTTTAATTAATCAAATATTAAATTATTTTTAATTAATAGTTTAAGAAGAAAAATATTTAATTAATTTATTAAAAATAGCAAATTTTATTATTTCTGTTCAAATTTTTTTCTGTTTTTAAATCGAAAGTGAGAACATAAATTTCATTGAAGAGTAAATACCCTATTGAAATAAGTAAAAGGAACGATTTTCAAATATATATATATATATAAATAAATATTTCTTTGAATAAATAAAACTATATCAATAACACTTAATCATTATAAAAATAAAGAAGATTATGATAAAAGGCATAATGCATTTTTATATTTTAAATTTCTTTTAAATCGAAGAATTCCATTTTTTATAAAATTTTAATATTAATTATAATAATTATTATATGTATATATAGTTAATTATAGTAAATTGTCATTAGTAAAAGTGTTTCAATAAATTTTATTAGTAATTATTGTCTGGTGCATCAAACGTGTTTTTAATATAAAAATTTTCCAAAAGTTTACTTAGAAGAACAAAAAAAAAAATTTAAAAAAAAAAAAAACATTTTATTTAAAATTTTATTATTCAACAAAAGCATTAATTTTGGCAAAAATATAATTTTTATATTGATTTCATATTGTAATTAATTAATTAAATTTTAATTAATTCATCAGTATAGTTAAATTTTTATTTATTTATTTCTTTTACTTAATTAATTTTAGCCAATGCAAAAAAAATTAATACAAAAATACAAAATTATTTTGAATTTTTATAAGCGTTTGTTGATCAAAGAATATTAATGTTGGTAAATACTAAAGAAGTATTTTATTAAAAACAAAAATATAATTTAAAAAAAAATTAAAGGAAATTATTTGAAAAAAAGAAATTAAGAATCGGAAAAGAATAGAGAATTATTACACGGAACGGAAGAAAATTATTTAAAATTAATTAATAAAGGAAGAAAAACATTTTTACAATAACAAAATTTTTCTTTAGTTAATTTATAAAAAGGAAAATTAAAGAAAAAGGAAAAATAAAATAAAAAAAAAAAAGCTTTAGTAGTTTATTAATAAAAGCCCACCACCAACCTCTTGAATTCTTATAAGATCCCCTTCGACCAATTGGAGTAGAACTTGTGCTAGGATATTCATCAGGAGATTCTGTAAATATGTATTTATTACGTTTAATTAATAGACATTATTTTTTTTTTGTATTATGGTTGAGAATATTATAGACTCTTTTTCTTTTTTTGTTTTAGTCAGTAACTTTTATAACAATAAAAATTATAAAACAAAATTTTAAAATAAACTTTCTTCTAAATATTTTCGATAGTCAATTCAATTTATATTTTGGTATTTAAATTTTTATTCTTCGATTTTAACTAAGTACTCATGTGTATCAATAAAATATATTCAATATTTTTAAGAAAATATTGATTTAAATTTTAAAAGTATTAGCCTTTTGTCAATTAAATTAATTAGAATCCGATGTATTTAAATGACTTTAGATTTTAATTTATTAATTATTTGGAAGGAGTGTCTTAGTCTGTATAAACATTACCATGTAGCTTCTTTTTAATTTAATATTTAAGAACAGAAACAATATGAAGCAAATGATTTTCTATAATAACTTGTTTTTAATTTTTCAATTATTATTTTAACTATGGAAATGACATTTACATTATGTGCTACATCTAAGAACTAGCTCCATTATTATAAAAAGAATTTTTCCAAAAGTATTTCCATTTATTTTAAATCGTTTTTTAATATAGAAACTCTAATTAAATATTTAAATGCAAAAATAATGATAAAAAACTAATTTATAATCAAGCTAATATTATTCATTTATTAGTTGTAGTAATTGGTTACTAAAATTTGAAATTTACATTTTGAATTTATGTACTTAGTTTTATAAAATGACACATTTTCAAATTGTCAAAGTTTTTTTTTTTTTGTTGACTATTGAAAGAATGATTTAAAAAACATTTAATATTATAAATATAGTATTCTAAATTGATAATATTATACAAAATTATAATAAAAAACAAATCAAACTAAAAACTAAAAAAACTTTTAATTGCATAGCATATTGAGAAGTGCTTGTCTTTTTGTTTCTCTCAAATTCATATTATTTAAACGTCTGTTTTTCTGTTGTATCCAATATTATAATTTCTTTATTTCTTGAATATTTAATTAAATTACATGCGATGAATTTTCATAATTTATTTTATTTTACCTATATTTAATAATATTTCAATTCAAATTTAAATTCCCCCCATCTAAAAAGTAATTGTTTTTTGGTAATATAATTTAAAAAAAAAAATATTCATATTTAGGTAAAGTTAAGATTACCAATTGTGTGTGTAATATTTTTTTAATAAAATAATTTATTTCAATATAATTTTATGGAAAAATTATATTCAAAGATTTTTTATTTAATCATAGCCTAATTTTCATAATAAAATTAATAAAACTGTGAATATAAAATTCAAAAATTTAAAATGAATAAGAATGAATGTTTCTAAAAGTGTGCAATTGTTTCAAATTTGCAAAAATTTTGTAATTTCAGAATCTTCAAAATAGCAACTGAAACAATTGCATTCTTAAAATATTTATGCACGTATCCTAAATTTACGTACCTATGAGGATGCATTTAACATAATACTAAAGAAAACGATTTTAACTATAAACTAAATTTTACTAAATTTATGTTTTAAATTATTCGATTGCTAAATAAAAAAGAAAATTTAAACAGTGAATCATAAAAATTTTTTGATTTGACAAAATTTTTATTATTATATTAATAATTTGTCCGCCAAAAAATTAAGAAAAAAAAAAGGAATGATTTAAGCAAAATTATATGTCAAAAAATATTATTTTAATTTTCATTAAAATATTATGCTTTTTAAATTATAATAATATGTAGTAGGTATGTATTTTTAAAATAAAAAGCTCGATTTCTGATGCTTTAAATTTTGTGGTTATCGATTATAATTTTTTTTTTTTGTGTTTTTGTATGACAATTTAAAACTTTACCTCTAACAGCTAAAGAGTCTTGTGATCCTCTGTAATAATCACGTCGCATGGAATTCGAACTTAATTGGCCGTAGCCTAAGCATATAAATAAACAAATAAAAATTAAAAAACGAACAAACTTGTTAAAAACAAAAAATAAAATCAAAATTAAAAAACGGAAAAAAATTAAAATCAAAAAGAAAAAATTAAATATTTTTTTTTTTTGTTATAATGAAAATAATGAAACAACAATAATTACAATTTTTATTTAATTTTTGACACAAAATGTTAAAAAAACACTGAACAAAATATGTCATAAGTTTTTTTTTTTTTTTGATTTTTCATAAACCTTAGTTACCTGTTAAATTTGAACTAGATCCTTTTTTGCCTCGACTAGATATACTAGAAGCTTCACTAATATCAACTGAACCAGTTTCAACATGAATTGTTTTTGGTCTAGGTCTTGTCATTTTTTGTTGTCTTAACCTTGGTTGAGTTTGTTGTTGCATTTGTTGCTGTTGTAATTGTTGTTGTTGTGCCAATTGATGTTTTATCAAAAGTTCCCTATCAACGGTTTTACCCTAAAAAAAAATTTTTTTTTGGAAACAGTAAATTAAAAAGTCAAATGAATTTTAATTCTTAATTTAAGAGCAGTACTTCTCTCTCAGCTTCTTCTACAGCCTTTTTTAATCTATGTGCTTCTAGTATAGCTGCACGTCTAGCTGACTGTTCTTCTTTTTTTCGAGCACGTTCATCTTCCTTTTCACGTTCTTTTTCGCGACGTTGCATTGCTTCTATTTCTTTTCTTGCTTTTGCCTCTTCTTGCTGTTGTCGTCTTTGTAAAGACAATAACATTATTTTCTCCTTTTTCTTTTCCATTTCGTCAATCGAATTCTACAACAGATTTATAAATAAATTAATATATGTATTTGTAATATTGTAAAAAATTATTTTTTTACTTACTGGATCTAAACTTGATATTTCGTTACCAATTATAAGAGCTTGATTCTCTTTTGGTTGCCTAGAGGAACTATTATTATTATTATTATTGTTGTTATTGTTCATATTTTGTTGGGCTTGTTGTAATTGCTGCTGTTGCAACTGCTGTTGAGATTGTTGATTTGTGACATCTTCCAAATGACGTCGATAATCATTAAAAATACTATTACCATTATTTGGACTTTGATTTAATTCTGTTATTTGGCGTAATTGAATTGGCGTATCTGGATCTAATTTATTATAAGTATTTGATTTATTGTTTTCTATATTCGAATGAATGCTATTGTGCTTTTGTTCTATATTAAACGAAAATAAAACAAAAAAAATAATATTGTGTTAAGCCAACTAAATTAATATTTTGCAATTTAAAAATTTAAAAAAGATTAAATTTAAGTTATAAATTATCCACATGTAAATTATCCATTTAGTTAAATAAATTAAGATAATTAACCTTAATTAGTTAAATAATTAAGGTCAGTGATTATTTTAAAAGAACTATCATTCTTTTCTTTGAATATAAAAGGAAGAAGTTTATTCTTTTAGAAAACATAAGCAAATTGTAATTCAACATTTTAAACGCTATCAACTACAATAATGGTTTACTTTAAATTTTCGTTTGTCGCTTTGCTTGCATTAATTTGCATAATTCCTGCTATGAGAGCTGAAGGTACTTTTGAAGGTTGATAACTTTCAGAATTTCCTTTTTTAATTTTTTGGAAATATTTTAGATTATATGGAAGTAAAAGAAGATGAATTTAAGGAACTTGGTTTGGAAAACTGGAATAAAGCAAGAATTTATCACTTTTTCTTTTTCCTTAACACCAGTAAGTACATAATATTAAATTTGTTTCAATTAATAGTATTGTTAATTTTTTTGAAACAAATTATTTTAGATCCGTGTAATGCTTTATATACGACATTAGGAATTGCGGACGCTCAGTGTACATTACGTTGCTTAAGTGTTGGAAGTCAGTTAGGTGGAGTGTGTAGAAATAATGAGTGCGAATGCAATGTTTTTCCTACTCAAGATCCATCAAAAAAGTGAAAGTTTTAAGTAGAATATTTACTTTAAACCACATTCTAATTGTAAAAATTATTTTAATAACAGCAATAAAGCTATAGAACTATAACATTTTAAGCAATTATTATTATAATTACCTTTCTTATTATCTAATTGAATATCTAGTTGACTATGTTGTTCACTCTTATCGATATTATCAAAGCTTTTCTCCTTTTTCGGTGATCTTTTTGTTCGTAGGGGTGGTTTAGGTCGCTTCGGTTGTTGGTCATCGAATGATATATAAAAACCTTTTTCATTAATTGAATTATTTTCCTGTCTTTGCTGTTGATTATTTTGTTGAAACTGTTGTTGTGGATCCTAAAAATAATTTTTTATTTTAGAATGTATTAAAACAAGAAGTATATTCAAATTATCAGTCCCTAACCAAGAGAATGAGTATATGTACATATATTATTAATAAAATAATTAATAAAATCAATAATTAAACACATATTAAATTTAATTAGCTTTAAAAAAAAATACATTTTTTTAACTTACTTGAAAACTGTTTGAATTCAATAATGGCCTGGACGGTGATGGAATTCTATAAGTTCTATTGCCACTTGAAATATTTAATCTTCCTAAATTAACATCAACATCATTTTCATCATAAAACTGTTGCTGCTGTTGTTGTTGCTGTTGATGTAATTGCTGTTGCTGTTGTTGCATCTTTCTTATAAAATTATTTCCTTGTCTTCCGGATGATGGTTGCAATATTTCAATATTCATTTCAATTTGATCAACTTGATCATCATCTTCACCAATAAATGATATACTTTGTGGTGCCATCATATCCTCTGATGGAGGTTGTGGTGCACCAAAACTACGGTTATCCTGTTTAGTAACATTAATAAAAGCAAATTTAACAACTGATTTTTTACAACTTCTCTATTATTATGGTTACACAAAAAAAAAAAAAATCATTTATGTTAAAATGTTAGTATCGCGACCGCATTTTTATTCAACAAAAAACAAAAAAAAAGTTCAAAATTTCAATTTTATTTGGTGATTTTTTATAATTAATTCTTTGTAAGATATTTGATAAATTAAATTTTGAAAAATACCTACAGTAAAATGATTTCAATTTTGATATGATTGTTTCTATTAAATATTAAAATGAAATTTATTCAAAAAAAAAAAATATATATGGATGGGAGATTAAAGGTTAGGACTGAAATTGATTTTTGTTTAAAATTTTAATTGATTTTGAAATAATATGGAATTTGTGATCAAAAACTTGTATTAGTCATTATCAAATATCTCGAATAAATTACTGTATAGTACTGTAAACGAAAAAAAAAAACGTGCTAATGTAAAATTATCAAGCTGATATTTTAAATGAAATTAAAAGTAACAATTCACTTCTTAAGCGATTCATTTTAAATTTTATTTATTTATTTATTCAATCTTTTTTTCTGTTTGTTAGTAAACGATGTGATTATAAAATAAAAATAGTTTATGCAATATTGTTTTTCACTCAAAAAGGTCATATATGATCAAATTTTTTGTGAGTTTTATTCGATTAAAACACTTTTATGCAGCAACATTAGAGAACATTGAATTTTTGCAAAGCAAAGCCATATTTTCTTAAGATTGCTATAAAAGTGGTCTAATCAAATACATAATTGTTAAATTTTTTGTTGACACAAGCACAAAATATGTTTTTAATTAATAAAACAAATAACAGGGTTTTTAAAACACATAATATGATCACATAGGAACCAATTTTGGCTAAGAAAATAAAATAAAATAAAAATAAGAAAAAAATCCTTTCCAAAAAAGTTTTTGTTTGTCAAAAATTTAAAACTAACAAAAAAATATTATAACACTATGAAAATTCGTTAATGACAAAAAAGAGGAAAGCATTTAAAATTTTAAAATCGATTGATTCTGTCAACAGACTGTTTGAAAATGTTTTAGATGAAAGAATATTTCGCTGATTTTTTTAAAGAATTAAGACATTTGTAGCATGAAATTCAAATTCTGATGAGTTGCGGTCTGATATTTATGGCCAAAAATAACTTCAAATCAAAAAGACAGATTTCACACTACTTCACATAATTTTAAATGACTGACAAAATTTTTTGCGATATAAAAATTTCAAATGAAATTGCTCAATATTTCATAAATAAGAAATACGAAAGTTTATTAATTTTAAATTAATAAGTAAAATTAAAAAGTCACTTAAAAATGCTGACAAAATAGTATAAAATCTTTTTCTTTTTTTTTTTTATCTTCAAAGAATTTAAAAATCAAAAATAATTTCTATAATTTTGAATTTAGAAAATTTTAATTTTTTTTTTTTTTTTTTGGTTTATTCTTTTACCCTGTGATTTGACATCATATTAGAAATTTGACGTGGTGGTGTACGGCTATGTTGTGGACTCGAATGCACTTGAAATAAATTTTGATAGGATTTCTCTTGATAATTATAATCACTGCCACCATTGTGATGTAATAAAAATCCAGGACTTGAACTTTGACTATTATTTGATGATGATTTCCATGTTCTTGTATCAACTTTTGGAGTCATATTTTGACTTTGCCACGCATTTATATCAACCATTTGCTGCTGTTGCTGCTGCTGCTGTTGTTGTTGTTGTTGTTGCATATATATAGAATCTACATTTTGTTGTGATTGATTTGCAGCAGATTGTGCCCAGGTTCTTCTTTGTGGCGGTTGAGGTGGCTTTTGGGTTGTTGTTTGCATCATTAATGGCTGTTGTGGTTGTTGTGATTGAGGTGAATCATGTAAATAAAACTGATTTGGTTGTGGTGAATTATGATCATGTCCACCAATTCGATGATGATAATCATCGTATTCGGTCGGACGATTTATTTGAGATGTTTGAACAATAAATTGATTTGACTGATATTGATTATCAGATTGTTGTGGTGGATATGGATCATATGGATTACCATATGTTGATTGTATATAATTATTTCCATTTTCATAAATATTACCATTACCAGAATTTAAAACACCGCTACCACCAATATTTATATATGGTTGACTATTTTCACGTTTAAATATTGGTGGTTGCTGGTGTTGATGGTTAATTGGTTGTGGTAATGGTGAATTTTGATTAACATATTGTCCATGCTCATTGATATATTGAATAGGAGCTTGTTGTAATTGTTGTTGTGATGGTTGCTGATAAGGGTCACGACTAGGCGGACGGGATGGATATGCACTTGGCGATCCAAATGATTGTTGTTGAGATAGATGTGGTGTTGAACCAAATTGATTTTGCTGCATTTGACGATACTGATTTGACAGATGTTGTTGTGAGCCGTATGGTTGTTGCTAATTTATATTTTGAATTGGTTTTTTTTTTCAAGGTTATCGAGTTTTTTTTTTACAATTTTTTTGTAAGTGATTGTAGAAATATTGTGTGCGTGTAGTGATTTATGTGTATATATATATAATTGTGTTTGTGTGATGTGGAATATGTGTGCGGTTGTACCGTAGCATTTTGTTAAAACCGTTGTTTTATATTTTTTTTATGTTTGGAATAAAAAACAATTTAAATATTTTTGTTCATTGTTTTTAGAAAGTATTTTTCGAGAAAAATGTTTTGAAAATTTCGATGGAAAATATTTTGGAAAGGTATATTTATATAAAAAAAAATGGTGAGTGAAAAAAGAAAAAAATAAATAAAAGAAATACAAGCAATAAGTGAGAAATTTTATATTTTTATAATTATTGATCATGTCATATTTTGAAAAATAAGATTTAAGAAAACTAAATATGATGCGATGAAGCTTTATGGCACTACCAAAAAAGAAATATATACGTGATGAAAGTATGATTAATATTAAAACAACAATAATTATAATGAAATAGGCGAAATAGCGTTGTTATTATTATTATTAATGAAATGTGATATATATATATATATATATTTTTTTAATATACATATATTAATTTTCAATAATGTAATATAAAACGTTAATCGAACCAATTTCTGAAGAATCACAAGCTATTCAGTATATCACAGAATAACAATATATAAATATATTTATACGAAATTGCAGAATAAATAATATATATAATCAACCACCACCAAAAAAATATGAAGAAATCTAAGCTAAATTAGCAATAAATGAGATTATTTTAAGTTCGACTAGTTTTATTTTACATCAAATATATATTTTTAAAATTTTTTTATTATTATTTTGCTTAAAATGAACTTAAAATATATATTTTTAGGCTATATTGCATTTAATGTTTTCTAATTAATTATTTATTATTATTTTAATAAAAAAAAATAACGTTGATTACATACTAAATTAATCATGTTCTATTAAATAACTTGTGAATATTTAATAAACATTTACGGAAAATAAAAGACCATACTTATAAAAACGTATGTACGCAAAATTGCATAAAGATCTGAGCAGATTAAAAATTATTTGTATTTATTACTGCTATACGAAATTATTTAAATGCTACAAAGCTGAAAACATACTATAACTAATTGAAAGTGAAAAGTGTACCTTTAACCCTATAAGCAAAAATGAGAGCAAAATATAAAAGTTTAGTGTTTTTAATCAAACTTTAAGGCAAATATTCAAACTGAGACCTAATAAAGACCGCCCTGGCTGTAAATAATTTAGCTAAAATAAATATTTACATAATATAACTTAATATTGAATTAGAATATTTGTTATACTGGAAGATATTAAACAAAAACGACTTGTTATCAATTTACATATCTCATATCGATTTCCAAAAATAATTTTGACACAGATATAAGTTGTCAACAAATTAAAATTGAGAATATAAGTAGTTAGTAACAAAAAATTTTTGCAATTTAAAGATTCATTTATTGAAATTTTACCTAAATTTGATGTTAAGGCTATCTAAAAACGATTTTTATATATTATAAAACGTATTTCCGAATCCTTATCCAAATTTCGCTTAAATATAATCAATATCATTGTGTTATATGAATTACTAATAATTTCAAATATTTTCCCATTTTTCATAGTATTATTTTTAGATAATGATATGAGCTTAAGGTAATTAACCTAATTTACATAATATTTATTATATCAATATAAACATAATATTGGTACGTAAACATATTTCACATAATATGTTGGTATGTTAATATTTTTTTAGTTGACTGTATTCAAATACAACAAAAAACCATTAAATATATTGGTGTACAATTTTGGAATGTAATTTACAAATAATATTTAAATTTACATAAATAATAAATTAATTACAATTAAACAATTTTTAAATAATTCATGTAAGTATTCTGATCAGATCTTTAATACTTGAAAAAAAAAAATTATATACAAAAACATAAAATGGAAATAGCCACATATATATATATAATAAATATAGTATATTATATACATAATTATGATAAAACAAAATGAAACCAAAACAAGACAACTAACAAATTGAATTTTTTTATTTAAAAAAAAAAAAAAATTTCTAATTTATATTAATGTACCTGTTGCATCATCGATGATATTTGTTGGGCTTGTAACATTTGCTGTTGAGTTTGTAATTGTTGTGCTTGTAACTGACTTTGTTGTGTCACTAACCTATGAATATCTTGTTGAAGATCTTGTAAATTCGAATTCATCATTGCTATACTCTGCTACAAGAAAATCATTTTAATTTTTTTTTTTCACAATTAATTTTAATTAATAAATTAAATTTTTTTTTTTAACATTGAAATACAATTTATTTTATTAATTAATTTAATAAGATAAAATAACGACACTTTTACCTGATATTTATCTATATCTGTTGTTTCTAAATCTGGTGTTCTTTTTTGATACTCAGTCTGGGGTTCCCAATCATCCTAAATTAAATTTATAAAAAGAATAAATTATTTGCATATTTTATAATTTCATAAATAAAATATTCATTTTTCATAAAATTCTAATCATTTTTTTTTCAATTCTGTTTTTTGTTTTTTTTTTTTCAATAGAAAAGCTTTTTTAAACTATAGCTGAAATGACATGCCACAGATAGGGTTATAAATAAAAGAGTATACACATAAATTTAAATAATGTTAGGTAAATAAAAAAAAAAAAAAGCCTATATAGTTTATAATAGTTATTATTCGACTCATTAAAAATATTTACAACAAAAATTAATTAGTAACCATCACCAATTTTATATTTGTTAGTTCATTCCAAAAAAAAAAAAATTTCTGCAACAAGAAAACTACTAAAAAATCACTACTTTAGGGAGTTGGAAATAAAAGAATATCTACAAAAATAATAAAAAAAAATACAACAAATGTGATTTTTGAAAATTTTAAATTGAGACATGAATTATAGGAATAAATAAACAGGAAACCAATTAGAAATTTAGTTCTCAACTTAATTTTTTTTTTTCAAAATTACATATAAATGACATACACTTATTATTATTGGGATTTATTACAAAACGTACATGTTTGGAAAATGGGGAAGGGTTTTCTTTTTTAGAAATTAAATAATCAGATTTAATTTTATTACATAAGCATAAAATTTCCAGCATTTGCAAAAAAAAAAAACAATTATATTTATTCAATTTGGAAAAAATTTAATTTCGTTTGATAAAAAAAAAAAAGTAGAGCGAACATTGAGAAAAAAAAAAAATTTCCAAGAAGAAAAACTCATGAGCTTTTAAATTATTTTAGCGTTTAAAGAGAAATATTAAATTATTAAAAAAATTCTAATTGGGCTTTTTTTTTTTGTTTTTTTTTTTTATGTTTTCTTTCATTTTCATGGATACCTGGGTAGATGCATTAGATTTACTTGGCATACTACTACTTGTTTCATTGCCATCAGCACTTGTACTAGAACTTGTTTCATCCATAGAATGATGATCTTTATTTTCAACATCTGAATGAGTTTGAGCCTTCCCCTATAAAATTAAATTACAGATATTGTTTTGTTTCTTTGTCTTTTTTTTTTTTTTTGCTTTTATCTCACAATTTAATTATAAAATTAAAAATATTATAAAAAAAAAATATATTGTACTTTTTCATCTCAATACTGTATACATTTTCATTAAAATATCAATTTTTCTATAAATACAATTTCGAATTTAACTAAAATATTCTTTGAAACTACATAAAGATTTTTTGAAAAATAAAAACGTGTAGATTTAAAACTTTTATACAAATAATTCCTTTTTCATTTATATTATGTTCCAATTTTTTTTTTTTGGGTAAAATAAAAAACTCAAATTAATTTAAATAGAATTCATGCACTATAATATCCGTATTACATACACTAAATAAATTGTCTTAATATCAAAAAATAATATAATTAAAAAATAAAAAATTTTTTTTGGAATTTTTTTAAATTGTATAAGTATAATTGGTGTTTAATTAAATTCTTGTTCATAAAATGTAGTTAAAGCAGAATATTTAACAATCATAGATTTTTTATAATGAATTTTATATTTGTAATTACAAAATTTTAATTTCAATTCAATTATATTGATCGTAATTATTGTACAATAATTACAATAACAAATTAGTTTTTAATAACAAAATTTAAATATTTCTTTTTTCACTCCATTAGAAAAACTAAATTTTTAATAATAAAAATTTTATTAATTTTATTTAATTTTAACACACTATATTATTTGAACAATTTAAATTTATTATGAATTAAAATTTTCAAATTACTGAATTTAAAATTTAAGAACCTTAAACAAAATTTTATTTATTCTACTTTAACTAAATTACATAAAAATTAAAAATTTAATATAAAAATTAATTATTATTAAATTATTATTAAATTAAATTTTATATAATAATTTTTTTTTTCCTAGTAAAAGCCGCCTAAAACTACTCTCTTTGACTATATAGCAATAACCAATTTTTTTTTTTTCTTGCAATAAAGAACGAATTTTGAGTGGATTACACAAAAAAAAAAAAATAAAACTTTACTTGAAAAGAAAAAATTAATAAAACATAAGAAAAAAAAATAAGTTTGCGTGTAGCCATTATTACAGTTTTTAGTTTCATTTGGTTGGAGAGCTTAGTTTTTTTATACATTACCATAATTTCTTCCAGTTTTAAGTGCTCCAAATGTTTATGGAATTCATATGTGATAGTAGTTTTCTGTTATTATTTTAAGGTTTTATATATAATAATAATTAATTAACAATAAATATTGTGAATTATTGTTTTAAGTTTTCTATATTATGTATATATATTTTTTTTCATTTTCTTGTTTCTATATTAATTTGAAATGTTACTAAATTTGTTTTATATATAATTATGATATTAAAAATGTATTTTTATGTTTATAAATATGTATATATGTAAATATGTAATAAGAATTATTAATGCATTAATGTTTTGAGCATAATTATAATTACTAAACACAATACTATTAGATCTTTATGGTTTTTGTTTTGTTTTTTTGTATATAAAGAATTAAAAGAAATGAAAAAGATATTACCGAAGACTATGAATAATATTGGTTGATGGACACATTGATATTCTAAGAATATTTATACATATACACTGTTAATTTCTTTTTTTTTTTTTTCGAAAAATAATAATAAAAATAAAATAAAAACCAAAGTTTTTTTTTTATGATTGAGTGAACATGAATCAGAATGAGCGAATCATTAAGCAACAAAGAAAAGAAAAAAAAATTAAATAAAATAAAAATATGCATAATAAATTCTTTTTTTTTTCTTTTATCATTCTTAATGCAAAAGGAATTACGTATCAATGAAGACCAAACCAGTTTTAAATAAGTAAATTATATTTTGAAATATTAATTAATCTGCTAATATTTAGTTTATCGTTGATTTTAGTGCCCACTTTTAAATATAACGTTTAAGATTGCATTACGGATTTTTTGTTGTCAAATATACAAGATTCAGAATTAATCATTTTAACATTGAATCGAAATATTTTTGTAACTTTTTTTATATTTAGAGTGAAAATGAAATTAATTAAATTAAAAATAAATTAATCAATTCATTAAAATTATTGTAATCCTAGCAAAAATACAAATCGTAATCAATTTCGATCGATTTGGAGATGGGCAATCGTGTCAATCTTCAAAAACAATTTATATTTGATTGATTTAAATAAATTTTTTCCGTTTAAAATATAATAACAGAGTAAAATTTCTAATATAATAACAGAGAATTATTCTTATTTATTTAAAATCAATAAATATTATTTAAATAAAGTTTTATATAAGTTTGGAATTATGTTGATATTCTCGTTAAAAATATATATATATATTTATATTATAAAATTAATTTCCGGGATTCAAACTGAAAACTTAATTCTTATAAAAAAACGATACTATTTGATATCCTTGTTTTTGATAAGGACAGTGTAACAATACAAGAAAGATATTCAATAAATATATAATTAAGATTTAAATGTATAATATTGCAACATAAATAATCTATACTTTTCTAAACAAAATTTAATTACTTTACTTTTCTTTAATAATATTTTTATAGTTCATATAAAATGAATTTTTTCTTAGTGATTATATGATAAAACAATATTAATAACATAAGCAAGTTTAAACTTAAAACTTAACATTTTTAAATATTCTGCATTTATAATTTCTGTTTAAACATAAACAGAATAAAATTGGAAAATAATTTTAAATAAAAAATTAATTGTAATTGATGAAGGGATACCAGAAAATTTTCATTTTAATTGAACTAATAATAAAATAATATTAACGATTTTATCAAATGTGTTATTTTAGAATTTTTAGTTACAATTTTAACAAAATAAAAGAAAACCTTTTGACCTTTGTGCAAAAATTACAATTTTAATTGACATAGAATTACAAATTTAATTAAATAAAAAAATATTAAAAAACCAATTATTATTTTTTTTCTATCCTCAAATACAAATTTATGATTTTTCGTTCCTACTAAAAAACTTATTAAATTTTGTTTAAATTATTTAAATTTAATATAAAAAACCGTGCGTTAAAATTATCAAAAAACTTATTTCTTTTTTTTTATATATATACTGACAAAATAAGAATTATTATAAACATTTAGTAAACATTTGGAATAAAAAAGTTAAAATACAAATAAAAAGAAAATTATAATTAAAAAAAAAAAACACACACGTAGAATGCAAATCAGTGACATGAAATAATTTAAGAAATTCAATTTACTAAATAATTTGGGAGATACAATTTTTTTTTCAATATTTGTTTTTCCAAAATAAGAGGGTGGGTGACAGGGTGAGATTTTTTGTGACTAACAAACAAAAACGATTTCCTTTTGCTTTTAAAATTTTGATCTGAAAATATATTTACTTACTTTATTAATTGCCTGAAGAAAAGCTGCTTTGCCAACTTTCTCTTGATGTTTTGACATTGCAATTTCCATTTTTCTTTTTTCTTGTTCAATATTTCTACGTTTTTCTTCTAATTTTAATCGAATCGATGATAATTTAGAGGCATCTATTAAGGGTTTTGAGGTTTCGTCAACATAATCTAAAAATATATTTTTTTAATTCATTGTTTTTCTATTTATTTTTATCTTTTTATTTTATTGCAGTACCATTATGATCACTTTGGTTAAATAAAACTGACTGTTGTTGCCATGTTGTTGTATTTGTTGGTAAATTAGCAAATGATGTTTTTCGTTTTGGTACAGCATCAGCATCTTGTGAATAGGCACTCTTTTGTTTTAAATGATTTTGTATTATTTCGCCGTCAGTTAAGTCTTTTCTACTGGAATGTATGATGTTACGAAGGGAAACGTTATCCAAACTAAAAATTAAAATAATAAATTAATGTTATTGAAATAAAAGAAAATTTTACTATAATATTTATTAAAAAAAAAATTTTACCTTGTCTGACGTCTCATTGCAGTCTTCTCTGTTTCTCTATCTTGTTTTTCAGAACCTGAATCAGTATCATAACCAATTTGTAAAGAACCACGAGCATCAGCTAATGATGATCTAGCCGGTAATACTGGTTCAATATAACCTCCAATACTAGCTGCTGATGTTTTTCTTTCACGTTCAATATTTCGATCAATCATATTTAATTGGTCTTGTGAACCACCAAAATTTTCAATTGTTAATTGTGAATCTTCACTGGAAGAATTTCGTCTTGAACGTCGGCCTATAAAATATAGTTTTTAGAAAAATTTGGTTTATGCATATTTTATACATACAACATATTAAAAAATAAAATTTAAACAAAAATGAATGTACATATTTATATATTTATAAATTTTTATAAAACCAAATAAAATAAAAAGTAATAATAAAATGCATGATCCTCTAAATAGAAAAGGCAATCAATCCCACTAACAGTGAAGGTTTATCAAAAGTACTTGAATACAAGGGAATTATTCACTTACCTGCGAAACTTGGTCTTCTATGTTGTTCCCAATTACTAGGACGACCAGCTGGTAAACTATCACCTATTTAGAATTATTTGAAAAAAATAAAACGGTGATACAAAATTGATTTGGAAAATAAAGTTAAAAAATGAAATTTAACCCGCCAATATTCATAGAAAAAAAAAGGGAAAGTGAGTTACAATATTTATAGTATAAAAAAAAATGTGAAAATGACGTTATATTTAGTGCCATCTGTTAATTAATATGCGAATATCATTATTTTATATAAAGTGTTAAGCGATTGAAGAAAAAAAAATTAAAAAAAAAAATTAAAGAGGACTGGAGAAAAGTCAAAATTTCGCTTTAGGCAAAATTTGAATTTAAATTTCTTAATTTTACCTTTAATCTTCCGAAATGTAATTGTAAATTTATTCTTTTACTAAAATTACATACTTATTTACTTATTATTTTACTAAGTTTTATTTTTTATTAGAAGGGAAAATTAAATTGATAGGGGTTGTTAAAATAAGAGTAAGCATATTTATTACTGGAAAATTAAAGCAATAAGTAAAAATAAAAAAATTTATAAAAAAAAATTTTTAAACATAAAAGAAAAATCATTAAAATTTTGTCAAACCTCTTTCATCTGCTTTAGATTCCATATTATTTTTCTCCTTAGCTTGCCGTAATCGTGCTGGAACCAACGGTTCCTGCACCGATGACAATGTTGGAATACCTTTACTTCTGTGCACTACAAAGCCTGAACACACAGTGTGATGAAAATTTTCAAATAAATTCAAAAAAAAAAAAGAAAATAGAGAAAAATAAAATAAAAAATTTTTTCTTTCATTTTAAACAAAAATTTTTGAAAAATTATGATTTATGTACAATTGAATAAGACAAAAAACAAAAAAAAAAGAGGGAAAAAAACTAGCAAAAAGCTTGCAATATAAAAAAAAAACAATTTAAATAAAAAAAACTTAATTTAAAATTAATAAAAAAATCTAATTTATGACTTAAACAAACACGTTTCATTTAAATTCCTCACTCTTTTAATGGTTAGCAGTAATAAGATGAAAAATAAAAAAACAAAGAATAAGAAGCATTTCTTACCTTCATCAACAGGTGTCGTAGTTGGAGTTGGATAATTATTTGTTTCACTACAATGTTGATAATCTTTAGGTGGAGTTATTCTGCGCATTGATACCGCAGATGTTGAACGTATAACTGTTTCATTTGATTTTGTACAATGCAAATTTTTTTGTTTGTTTGTTTTTTATTTTATTTTTTTTTTTTGGAATATTTTTATGAGGAAAAACGTTGAGAAATAAAAGAAAAAAAAAGCATAAAAGAAACTTAAATTAAAACTAAAAATAAACAGTGTTTTTTTTTTCATATTTTGTTTCTGAACTTAAAAGTAATATTTGATAAATTTTCCTGCATTTCCTTATAGAAATTTCATTTTCATATGTTTATATACAAATTTTTTTTCCCTTTTTTTGAAAATGTTCAGGTTAAAATTATAAAATACATTTACGCTCAGTCAAAGCCTTATTTAAAACAAATTCTAATTAGTTTTTATTTTTTTTTTTTCAAAAATATTGTTACTCTATTAATAAAATTATTCAAAGCCACTTCGTAGGGCAGTTAAACGGCAACACTAATTAAAAAATGAAATGTACAATTCTTGGAAAAGGTATTTATAATTTTTCTTTGTTTGACTGAGTTTAATGTAACACAATGTTTTAATATAGAAGAAAAGAGAAGAAAAAAACTTATTCAGAATTTTTAATATAATTGCAAAATTTGATTAATTCATAGAATAATATACGAAATTATTTTGATTTTGGCTACTGCCAAATTTAGATCAAAATCGCCTACCTTAATTTTATTTTTTATACCATTTGTTTAAAATCAATACAAGTTTCTAGTACATATTTCTTTAAAAAGTTGGAATATTATCTTCAAAATATCGAAAGTGTGTTTTTCCGGAAAAAAAAAACAATATATGATTTGCATCTAAATTTAAAGCTGTTCAAACGAAAAATGTCATTAAAAAAATTTTCCTCCTAAAAATTTAAATTTAAATGTCAAAACTTTATATAAGAAATTCACGATGGTAATACAGAATTAAAAAATTATGCCGACTCGGCAATACTAGATTTATCAATTTACAAATAAAAACACGTACTCGTACTAGGATTTTTCATTTGCTTTCATGTAAAATAGGAAATTTCAAATTTTTCATATCATATATAAAAATAAAGAATCTATATTTTAAAAAATATTTTTTACACTAGAACTTAATTTTTTACCATTGTGAAATTTTCCTTACATCTAACATGTAAACATTAAATAAGCGTGCCAATTAAGAAATGTGTTGGTGATAAAATTTTGTTTTGAAAATATTTTCTTAATAAAATTTTACAAATACTTAGTGTAAATTTAGAAAATACTTATCATAATTTTCTCAAATTTTGTAATATTAAAATTTCTGAATATCATGGTGATTATATGTGTTAAAAAAGATAATAAAGAATAAAAGAAAAAGTTAGAACATGCAATAAGGTTAGTGAAACTAAAAAAAATTGTTATTTTTTTTTCTAAAGTGTGAATTAATTATGGTTAATAATATTATATTATGTATATTATTGTTTATTAATGCCAATTTAAATATTGTAATTTATTATTTTTTAAATAATCATCAAAAAAATTTACAAGAGTTTTTCACTAAAATTATTTAAAGGCGAAGTAGAAACAAAAACAAAAAAGTAATGGACACAAATTCAAAACGCATATCAGCAGGCTATGAGTAAAACAGATAAAAAAAAATGACGAACCAGTCCAACATTCAAAGCTACACGAATACAGCGCAGGCATGTCTTATTATATTCATGACAAACATTTTTAATTTTCTTCTATATACAACAAATAAGTTTATATTTTTTAATTTTATTTCGGCAACAATTTACTGAATTATACTATGCTTACAGAAAATATATTATATATACAGCAAATACGGTTTAATAAAATTTATAAAATTTATTAAATTTCCAAGGAAATTTGTGACAAGTTCAGAAAAATCTTCAATATACAGTTAATTAATACCATAATTTGATCATTTGATTTGATTGATAATTTGATATATAAAGTACGGACTTTAATTGAAAAATATTGCAATTGTTTAATTTCAGGAATAATTAAATGAATCAAATTTCGAAATACTAGATTCAATTATTCATTTAAGCATAGTATAACATTATAATTTAAAAATGAATATTAATACAAATATATATGAAAGCACACACTAATAACAACGAAAAACAAATGCAACAGCGCAAACATCAATACAAAACAAATAACAAAAAAAAAGAAACAAATGAACTACGAAACACTTTCGAATGATTTTCAAAAATGCTTTAAAAAAAATAATGCTTATATTCAAAATTTCACAAGGATTTTCCAATTTGTTGAAAAGGAAAGCAATAAAAAAACAAATTTAATTTTGAAACATTTCCAAAAAAATTTCTAATTTTGTTATCATAAAAAAAAAATTATCAAAATTATTTTTTTTATTTTTTTTCTTTGTTTTAAAATAATAGAAACCTTGAAATGGGGGTCTATTAGAAGGTGAACAAGTAGGCGAATCAAGACCACTTCTCAAATCTGGTATTGGTGTTATCGGTTGACATGTAAGACCTCTTCTGTAAGAAATTCCGTATTCATTGGAACTAACACTGCTGGTATCGGATTCTGCATAGAATTTCGAATATTAGGGAAATTTTTGCTGTAGTTGTTTTTCTATTGTTTTTGTTTTTTTTTTTTTTAATTAATTGTTTTATTTAAATTAAAATTTTATGTTAAAAAAATTAAGTTATATATTTTTTTTTTGTTTTTTTTTTTCTTTTAAGGATAAGAAATTTAAAAATGACGTATAAAACACAAAAACATTCAATGACTTAGTGCAATCATAATGGAAACGAAGTGAATAGGAACAATATAAATCAGAAGAAACGTACTATATAAATCGAGTTTTGAATAACAATTATGAATAATAAAATAATTAAAGGAAAAAAATTTGAAGGAAATTGCAACAAGCTTAAGAAAAATTAGAAGTTATTCTTAAAACCATCATTAAATTCATTCAATTATAAATTGTATTAATTTAAAAAAAAAAAAAAAACTTTTATAGAAAATATAAAAAATGTTCAAATGTAAGATAATTTGAGGCAGCAATGATTCACAATTAATTGAAATTATGGAAAATGTAAATTGGAATCTATAGACACAAAAATATTATTTGAACTAACTTAAATTTTTTGAATTAAAACAATTTCTTGACAATTTTCTAAACAATTTTCTAAAATAACAAAACTCGAACTTAATTAACTATTTTCATTTCTTTTGTATTGAATATTTAAAATATTTGAGCTCAACTTTTATTATTAGCTATTTGGATTATTATATTTTGTGTAGAAATTTGTGTCATTTATGTGAAATTGGCGTATATTGCATTTCTACTGCCTTTTTAATTAAAAATAAACAATAAAAATCGTAAAATATTACTTTAAATTAATTAAGAAATAATTTGTTTTTCCCCTTTTTTGATTTTTTATTTTTACAAATTAATGTAATTATTAATAAAGCTTGTGCAAATTTCAATTGAAATATTCAAAAAAAAACATTTGTAAGTAAAATCTATAATAAATATTTTGCAAAAATAAAAAAAAAAATGATCAAATTAATTTGAAATTCAATTTTTTAAGTTTTTTACTTGAGAAATTTTTGCCAAAATCAAATTCTATAAATTTGAAATAAATGCTTGTGCTTTCAATAATTTTAAAATAAGTATATATAAAATGGGCAAAGTATATAGAAATAATTTTATATTTCTTTAAAACTTGTAATGAATAATTTCAAATAAAAAAAAAAAATATTTATTTTATTAATTATCTCTAAAATATATGAATGTATATGTAACAGACAAATAAATTGAGAATAATATTATGTAGAAAATGAATTCATTAATGAAAAACCAGTATGATAAGAATAAATAATTCAGTATAATCAAAATAATTAATATCATTTTAAATATTTACATGTATTACGTATACATTTTAGGATTTTTTTTTATAGCTATTCACAAATATTATTGTTAATTACTTAATTTGCATAATAAAGATTTGAAAATTTTAAAAAAATTTTTTACATGAAAACATCCAATACTTAGTCGATTATGAATATTGCTACACTTAATATTTTCTCATAAAACTTACGCCAATTATTTAAAATTTAAGCAATATCAAATAGAAAAAGCGTAAAAATATTTTAAATTAATTATAAAAGATGATAATATAAACAAGGAGATTTAAGGTACTATACAAAGACATTTTCAAGAAATTTTAAGAAAAGAAATTTATAATGTGGATCTGAAATTTTGCAATCCTATAGCAGCTACTAATAAAGGTCAAACATTAAAATAGAAAATTCAAAATTCTCTTACATTTAGTTTCATATATTTTTTGTTCATTATTAGTTTAAGAAAATTATTTAATATTTAAAATTTATCTTAATTGAAACGTTTACAATTACATTTTTCTTTTGAACTCACAATATAAAAGATCTAGTATTAGTAGTAAATAATCGAGAGGATCATTGCATATTATAACATTTTAAAATAGGATAAATAAGATAATGGGTCTTATTCTGTGAAAATATAAAATCACTAAGTTATAGCAATATTTATCGTAAGAAATTCGACATTATCATTTTAATGTAAACACAAACGGGTCTATAAAAAAGTTTTTCAATTTCTTCTCTGTTGTAGCACATTTGTGTTGTACAAAGTAGAACGTTGTAAGAACGCTGTTATTAATATAATTAAATTTGAAGGTCCTATTGAAATTTGCAATCGAATTATTATTAACTGGAATTGTTACGGTAATTTTTCGATTTGGATTACTTAATTTTCGAGTATTGTAACATGCGAGTATTGTAACATCAGAGTATCGTAATATTCGAGTATCGTGATATTCGAGTACCGAAATATTCGGAGAAACATAATATTCTTTTTCCATTCTACAAAATAAGTCCAGTTCCTTTTTAATTTCAAAAAATATTAAGAGAATGAAACTGAATAGAAAATTAAATTAAATATTTTAATTACACTTGATGTTTTCATGTTGAAATAAAACTAATTTTATAAATCAAATTAAATAATGACATTTTTGATTTTCCGATTTTCAATAATTTCTATAACTTAAATATTTTTGATAAAAAAAACAACAAATACGAGACTCAAACAAAAAAAAAAGAAAGAAATAAAATAGTTCGTTGAGAGGAATGCAAATTTTGAACATGTTTGTTTGCGTTTTTTTATTTTTTCTTTATTTTATTTTTCTACAATAAAACCAAAAATACTAAATAAATATAATTTTAAAATCAAATAAATAACATAATGTACTCAAATGAAATTAAAAAAAAAAAAATAAATATCAAACTTAGTGGATATATGATAGGTAAAATATATGTAAAGCAACTCAATTATTCAAATACAAAACAAACATATTCCAAAAAAGCATCATCCAACCAATTATCTTTTACAAAGATATAGAGAATTTATACAAAAGAAAAATGTGAAATAAATAATAAAATTATAAATAAATAAGTGACTAAAATAGAATATCTATTAAAATTAATAAAAAAAAAATTAAATATGAAAAAAAATGATAATGAAAATATTGACTTTATAAAACAATATTTAAAAAAAAAAAACATTTAATAATTAAAATGAAAGAAATTATTAAATTATTTTTAAAATTAAATTGAATTATATGATGTAAAACAAAAATGGTTATTATTCTAAATAATTTTTACAAAACAACAAAGAATATTTAAATTACCTTGTGATTCCATTCCTGGATAACAAACACATTTTGCTGGATGTATTTCGAATAAATTGAATAAATCGGCTAAAAGTACTACTAAATTTTGTTTCATTGAACTAAAAAAAATTTAAAAAAAAATATATATAAAAAGATTATTATTTCGATCTTATTTATTTAATTTAAAATAGTAGTATTACCCTCTCATATATGTAATATCTTCTGGAGTCATATGGAACACTGAATATGGCAAATGTTTTTGGGAGAAATTACTAACTAACAAAACATTGTGAATTGAATCCTAAAAGTATGTAAAAACATTTATGTATTTAAACAAAAAATACCATTGTGAATAATTCTGTAGTTAAAAAAACTCATTAAGAACAAATTAAATTCGAGCTTTCAATTTAATTTTTTTTTTAATTGGTGTGAAAAGAAAACTTCCTTTTATTCGGAATAAAATACTTTTATTTTTCGCTAATATATTTCGTGCGCTACATACGCACTTTATCAAAGCTGATTTTCAATTTAATTTAAAAAAAAATTAGAGATTTTTATACTTTTATACGTATAACAACTTCGGTATTAATTATGGCACAGTAGCCAAAATTAAAATAAAGCTGATTTTCAAATTATTTATTAGAATAATAAGTTTGATCTTGTAATAAATAACCATTAAATTATTGAATTAGACAGTTATCACTTTGTCAACTACAGAATTATTATTTTTATGTTCAAAAAATTATATTATTATAATTTTTACCTCTACTGCTGGCAAATAATTTATTCTAACACTAGTCCAAGGAACAACTTTGGGACAATAATATGATATAAGTAGAGCTAAACAAACACCATCACATAAATCTTGAAAATCTCGTACTGGTGGAACTTCTGGTGACTGATATCGAACACCCTGTTTAATCCAAACAAAAAAATTCTTTTAATAAAGTTCAATTATATATTAGTTTTGTGTATATTAAATACACAGAAAAGAAAAAACAAAATTTCCATAAAAATATGGTGCAAAGAAATCAATATTATAATAACACACACAAACACACAGACTTAAAAGATTAAAAAAAAAAATTACAATATTAAATTCTACTTACATTTTCATCTGTTGCACCATTTTCAATTTCTTGATCAATTCTTTTCTTTAAAGCCGAACAAGCATGTGACACCCACGATAAAAGGCATTGTTCATATGTTTGACCAGCTATTGATACATTATGCCCACAAATTCTATGTGTAAATAAAAAAAGAAAAAGAGGAAGAGAGGGAGAGAGAAAAAAAAATTATATATGTTTATATGTAAGTATTTTTATTAATAACAAAAATTAATGAGGTACAAAAGACAAAAAAAAAAAAGTAAATAAAATGAAAAAAATCAAAGGAAATACTCAAATATAGGTTATTTTTATAATTATTATTATTATTTTTTGCATTTTTCAACTTTAATTTTATGTATGCATATGTATATTATCTACCTTCGTATCGCATTTGGTATTCGATCCCCCGATGAAATTTCTTTTGCATACAAAATCATAAGCGATTCTATCACAGACATGTGGGCATTCTGGACAATAAAAAAAAAGAATAAATTGAAAAAAATATTAATATTATTAAAAATATTAAACGGAAAATAAAATAAATGTATATTAATATTAATTATTTATTAAGTTATTTAAATTTTAAATAATAATTAATTAAATTTAATCATATATGGTACAATTTTTTGTTTTTGTTTTTAGAGAGACCAGTTATTTGTTATAAATTGTATTATTCCCAACTTAAAATAGGCAAACATATGTGCGCAGCAATTTACTTTCAATCAAACAATGAATTTATTTTATGTATAACAAAATTTTCTTTCTCTAATTTGTATTTTCATTCAAATTAGACTAAAATTAATAATTTCCGTAATAATTTTTTTATTTTGTTTAATTATATTATTTATAATAATTTTATTCAATATTTCAAAACAATGACAGCAGCACAGTTCAGAAAATAATTCCAAAAATTAAATGATGAATAGATACTTAAAATTATTACAACAAAAAAACGAAAATTACGATTACAAAATCATAAAAGAATTCACACCTACTTACGAAATTCGTTTAATATTTATATACAATATGGTTTAAACATATGGTGTTTAAGTAAAAAGTAAATTTTCTATATTTAAAAATAAATAAAATAAAATTTTTTTTATTTTTTAACTATTTGATTACAAATTAGCAAGAAATTATATTTTATCAATAATAAAATTTAAAAAAAAAATATTATTCAAGGTTTTTTTTTTTCTATTGTGAATGAAAATGATTAAAATGTCGTCTTGAAATTCCCTTAAAATTTTGCCTATTCTATAAAATACAATATGACACATTTTATTGAGATTTATGTTTACATTTGATAGAAACAGAAAAAAAAGTGTTACCGCTTTCCTTTTTGTGTTTTTTTAATTGATGAATGAATTAAAATCCCAATAAGTTTCAAAAATCAAATTTGAGATTTAAAAACAAGAATTTGACATGTTAATTAATTCAATTATTTCAAAGTAGGTTTTTTTTCACTTAATTAGTTCAGCTTAGGTCTTTGTAATATTCATTATCGGATATTTTATTATCATAGAAGTAAGTGTTCAATTTTTGTATTAATATTGAAGATTAAAACATTATTTTAAATAAAACTTCACTTTTTGACGTCTGTTATCATCAATTTTATCCGTAAAAGATGTCAAAAAATGGATTTCAGAATAGTTTAAGGCAAGACGTAAAATCCTTTATTTTGTAATAAGTGAAGTGACTCACATTTGTTTCTAGTTTCTACTTTATGTTGTAGTACATGTCTATAGACATTTTAGTCAAAAAATATTGGGTATTTTATTTATTTATCTATATATAATTTACTAATCAAACATTAATTAAATAATAAAAATAACAACTTAATAATATATATGAAAATATTTTCTGTTATATTTATTATCTATAAAATCTAAAATACTTGTTATATTACCAAATAAGTTCATAAAATAATTTACAAGAAAAACTTGTATAATTATTGAATTTCTAGTCTATTATAGAACTTTAATTTTAGTTCATTTGAATAAATTGAATTATTTTATAGACATTTCTATAATAATCTGTCAAAAGTAATTTATTTCATAACAAAGAACTTTTTTAAATATATTTCCTACATTCGCAATTTTCTAAAACCTTCAAGAAATATAAAACACTTATAAATTTATAAAGATATTTGAAATGTGAAAAAAATTTTTTTAAAAGCAATTTTAAAACTTGTAAAATATACACTTTAAACGAAACCAAAATTCAATTAAACTTTTAATTGAAAAAGTACTTGAAATACAAAAAAAAAAGAAAGGGTTTGTTTTTCTTTTAACAATTTCCTCGAATTTAAAAACAAAATTACTCAATTACACAAAAGAGGACCTAGCCAATGGTCATAACAACACATCTGTTTAGTAATAATTATTTTTAGTTTTTTTTTTTGTGTTTTTTTTTTAATACAATATCAATTTCTAAGAATTCGTATATTATTTTAATTAAATACAAAATGTATAGTGAAAGTGGAAACACTAATTTAAATTTTTCTTTAGAATAATATCAAATTCATAAATACAAATAAGTATAACACTTTCTTTGATTGAGTTCAATGACTCCCCATAGTGTGTATCTTGAAAAGTTGAAATAAATATAAATTTGATTTTTATTTTTGACCTCATAGAGGATGATTTTTTTTCGTCTTACATTTATATTTGACATTTCGTCGGCAGTGATTCGTTATAAGCGTTAAATCACCTTACCTAAACATGTCATTTAACACGTAGACTTTATGTCATTTAATGTACGGATTGTTCCTAATCATAACAATTCCAAATTTTTATATTTAATAAACATTATGTAAGATTGTTTTCTATAAGAAATTAATTTCAGATTTTAAAGCTTCCCATTAGATACTGAATGTTTTCTTTGAAGAATGTGAAATATTTTCCTTATATCGACCAAATGGTATTGATTTGCAACATTGCAAAAATATATTGAATAAGTAAATAATGATATTTTTAGCAAAATACACGGCAATATTGAAAAATTTGCAAATTTTTCTTTTAAATTAAAAACTAAACTCTTAAGAAATCACCCATTACAAATGTAAATATAAATGGACAGAAAATGCAGAAAACTTTTTCTTTAAAGAAAAAAAAAATCATCATCATCATCATCAAATGTAACTGATGACCATCATCAAAAATAAAAACAAATTGTATAACAAAATAAATTAAATAAAATAAAATAAGAAATTAAAGAAAACAAATGATTTTTTTTTTTACAGTCATATTGATTGATAAAATTAGTTTCTATGTTACACTTGAATGTTCTTTACATTATACACCTATTTATTTATACATACATATGTATGTACACAAATACATAATGTGAATATTTTCTTATGATATCTGAAATCTATTGAAACTTCATTGTAGGAACGTACAAATATAAATATATGTGAGTATGCAACAATTGCATATGGATTGTAAAAAAAATTAAAACAATGTCGGCTGAGTGCAATGCAGTTATATAAAAAAATTAAGTGGAAATGAGGTAAGCTATTCGGGTCAACAATTTTTCTTTTTATAACTTTATGTACAATCATAAAGACAAATGCATATTTTTTTATATTATTTATTTATTTATCTATTTATATATTATTATATTGCATATTGATATAATAACATATTTTCATATACATATATCTAATTAGTTATACATAATAATATGTGATATATATAATATAAATGTATGTAACTAGTTGATTAAAAAAATTTTTTTTTTTTATTTTATGCTAAAAGCACTGTTGCCAACTATTAAATTTACAAATGTATCAAAATTTGCATAATAATTGCATTCACTAAAGAATGTAGTGACACTTATATGTATAAAAGAATTCAAATGACAAGATAATTTAAATGTCATCTTGAATTTTATGAAGAAAACCAGTAAATTTATTTTAATTGAAAAAAAAAATAATTATTTCCTTCCATATTTATTACAGAAACTATACAGAATTCTAATTAATAAATGAATTATCATTTTGTATATCACCACATATCAGTGGTGAATTTGATAATGGTTATATCAAGTAATTTTATAATCTTCCAATTTTTTAATAATTTTGACTTTTGCTTATGTATTTTAGTATTTTATTTGAAATCACTTAATTTATTATATTTGAAGTAAATAAGCTATTTATTGTAAATTAATATTAAAGATGGCGCTAATGACATGATAATTAAAAATTTTTGTAATTGACAACATTAAAAAATAACTTACTAATTTATTGCCTTCCATTATTTATAATTTCGAATTATAATTTAAGAAGAAATAGACAAAAAACTAAGAAAATTGAAAAACAAATGCCATATATGTTGACACTTTCACTTTCAAAAACGAAAAAAAAAAAGTATCAAAAATTTTTTTTTAAAATTTCGTTATAGTGTCAACACTTTTTTTTTTATTTTGAGTATAAAAATACATTTTAATAACTAACTGGATCCAATTGAATTATTTTTCCGTTTCGTATATTACTATATTAAAATATTTTTGTTGTTATTTTCGATATTTTTTTACTATTCTGGGGCAGTCAAGTTCCCTTTTTTGGAATTTAAAATTTTTATTTTTTCTCTTTTATCTTTTCTTTTAAATTTTAATCGATTATTTTACCTTCTTTATTTTTATCTAGGCATAATATTATATTTTATTTTATATCAATATATATATATGTATGTATATAAAATATTTTAATTAAATAATTATTATTAAAAATCGAAAGTAAACAACACATTATTAGTTGTGAATACAAAAATTTTAGATTGAAAAATATATTTTTATGCCATAAGAATGGTAAAGTACAAGAAAAGAAAAAATTAAAATAATTTTATATATAGATATGCAAATTGAAAAGCAAATTTTATAATTATGTAATTGAATGTAATAATATTAATAATATTAGAACAATTTTTAGAATTTTCACTTGAATCTTTACTATTTGAAAAGAGAATATAGGGTAAAGTAAATAAGAATGAAGTAGTTATAGTTTAATTGGAACAGGCAGCTTATAATTTATACTCGTAATAATAATTTTATTTATATGATTTCTTTATTATGATGTAATATTAATAAAAATATTTTAAAATTAAAATAATTATACTTTAAGAATTAGGTACATACTTTGATTCAATTCCCATGCGAGAATTTGTCAGCTAATATCAGTAATTTTGAATTTTAAACACGAAATTTTGTAGGGAAAACACGATATTTAGAGCCTGATCGTGTATGTTGCTTTTTTACTACCTTTTTATACACTTTCAAAACAGAATTCTCAATATTTTCTAACGGATATTTTAATTTTTCATTTTAGAAAAAAACGAGATAAACAATACCAAATAACAAATTTCTTACTCGAAAATTACATTATACAAATATATGATAGTTACTCACTTTTTTCTCACTTTCCGAGTAAAATGGAGAGATAGACGATCAGACCCTTAATAAAATAAAG